AATTAAACGTTGAATTAAAAAGCTCTTAAAATACAGCCGGCTAGTTAAGAACTTAATTATTTTTTTTTTGCTAAAGTAGTTTTTAGGTTTCCTGCTAGGTACAGGAAGCTATTCCAAGTGTGTAGCGTGAAGACAATAGGAATAAATACGGCTTGTGTTATTGTCCGTATAGAATATGTTTGATTTTAAAAGCAATTAAAGTTTTCTGCTCAATCGTTCAAATGCCGACCAGCAGTTGGGAGGCTTACAGAATGTCAGTAGTATTTCTCTGTCCCTCTTCTGGCCGCTTCAGCCTGGACCATGTCCCACACAGCTTGGGAGACACCGTGGGCAATTTAAAATCACCGTCTTGCCTAAATGGGGGGTTGTGTGCTCCACGCACACAGTGCCAGGGGCGGGAATCGAACCTGCAACCCTAGAGGTGTGAAGTCACAATGCTGCCCTCATTGCGGTAATCAATATTTAAAGCGGATGCCAAATCCTACTCATTTTGTACACAAGCCATCAGCACTCTAATTATTTTTTAACCTCATGCAATGAAGGCTCCTGTTGAGGGGCAGTTAATGTAGGGCTTAGCTTGAGGGAAACCTGCAGAGTCGTCAGGTCAGAGACGCCTTCATTTAAACAAACATTTGGAGATGAAACAAAGTTTAAAAAGGAATTTTAATCCATCTTCCATTTAGCTACTTATCCTAGTCGCGGTTGCAGCCGCACGCTGCGTGACGTTAACATCAACATCGCATGTCATGCACTTGCAGTTGTCACAGCGCAAGGACTGCGATAGTCAGCTGGGTTGAGACTAGCTTGGCTGGTGTCTCGTTTTTCATATGCCGTACCGTCCGGTAGTACTGCACGATATATCGTTTATAACGTGGTTATCACATTGCAGGATATGTAGTGTCAAGTAAAGCCAATTAAATCAAATACATCATGCTGTAACTTATTCGCAAGGTTCTCATTTTCCATAACTTATGCACAAGATGAGTCTGTCAGTATAACATCGTTTGCTTTTGATATGAGGGTTTTTGGATACACAGTGTCTGTTGCCAGTGAGGCTTCTGCATGCACAGCAAGTCACCCGTCACAATTAGGGTGATATAATTCATTGACCATCGGGAGCTTGAGGTTTCGCTAATACATTTTTACTTTGTCATAGGAATGAAAACTTAGCAAGCGTTGCAATTTTAACAACCGTTCCTTTTCATGATTGTCTACTGTAGTACACGTTTTAAAAAATAAGTCTAACGTTTGCCGCCACCTGCTTTTGCAGGAGCTCTGCGAGACAGTCATAATCGGTCTCAGCCTTGCTGTGGTGAGTTTGTGGGGGGAAAAAAAATTACATGAAAGAGTGCGAAGGAGAAAAGTGAGCAATAACTGGTTACAAAAAGGTCTTCCACTGTATGGTAATGTTTTGGATTCTTTGGATTTCACGAAATACCCCGTGACCCTGAATGGGACAAGCGGTAACTGAATATATATGGATGGATGGATATTTGACGGTATTGAGCAAAAGCATTTGATTGATCAGCACTGCTTTGTTCCTGCTGGCAAAGCTCATGGCATAACCGGCAGCTTGTTTGACAGACACTAACTATAGATAATACCAAGTTCTATTTGTGTATAATTTATTTTGGGTACATTTTCAACTAATTCTTTGCTTTGTAAATACCGCAGTATTTATATAAATCCCATCACAATCACATCAAAATCACAGAATTTTTCCAGTGTCGTGCACCCCGTGTCATAGGGGGAACCTGGAGCTTGTCCCAGGCTGCATTGGGCAGAAGACAGGTGGGGGCACCCTGGACAGGATGTCAGTCTACTGCAGGGCACACATTCACACACGCAGTCATTCACTGTGGGCAATTTAGAGATGCCACTTAACCTAGCAGTGTGTCTTTGGACTGTAGGAGGAAACCCACACTCACAGACTGGCGGTGTGAGAGAACGGTGTTGCCCGTGAATATTTAATATTTAAAAAATCCATTCTTGCAGCTCTAATCTGGAATTTTTGTGTCATTTAATAAACTTTAATATGCCACGTGTTGTCAAAATTAGGGACAGTATGGTTGTCATAAACTAATCCATTTGGTTTGCTGAGCGATGCATAATCAAACGTTGTCATACTGTGCATTTACCCCAAATGCTTCAAACATATTAAACGACAAGTGGTAATGAGACGATCAATGGCTCTCACGGGCTTATTTAGCATCTTTTGAAGACTGCAGTGTTTTAAGTATAAAACTGGCGTAATAGCTCCGTGGAAATAAATGGGAGAAGATCTGGGAATTGTGATATTGAATGAAAACCAAGGACGTGGCACAGGCCGCAGAAGACTCAGATCTGAATAGGCTCTCCTGCAATATATCAAAAAGCTTGTTCAATGGAGGAGCTTAGAGTCCTTCTAAAAGAGCAGGAAAATTTGTACTCGGTATTTTTGTACTGGGAACACTGAGGACAGTTTAGTGCCCCCCCCCCCGGTAATGGTCTCTTGGTAATTTACTGTGATCTCGTCGAGGGTCCAAGAAACGGTCACAATTTAGCGCCATCAGACGCTTTTCCGTCCTGCCGAGATCAGTCAGTCTTCTCCCCCGTCCTCCAGACGTCTCCGTGTTCGGGTCAGCACTCGTAAACCCCCCCGGACTCCTCTCCCCGCGCGGCTCCTGCCACTGGCCTGCGTCCCTTTTCGTCCCCGAGGCCGCGTGGTGGGTGGTCCACCAGCGCCAAACGCTCCTCCTTTGATGTGCCTTCAGTCGCGCTGAAGATTTAGGGAACGACGCCTGTAATGGGAATTCCTCGGGCCTGCAGGGCTGCCGGTCATTTTGCTGCATAGTTCCAGTCTGGAATTTTTTACCTCCAAAAATCTGAAGCCCTTCATTTAGGTTAAATATCATAAGTGCATTAGTAATTTGCATATGAGGCTTCATCTTATTTGTCTTACCCAGAGTTCTTTTGAGAACGTGTGCATGTTTTTTCTGGGGAAATTTTTTACTATAATTAATTGTAAAACCACATATATTTCTGAGAGCTATATATTGTCACTGTCCGAAGGAAACTGTCACTATTTTATTCTAGATGGAATATGTCAATTCTCCTCTGTAAACTGCATTTGACATCTAAGTGACCAACAAAAAGATGTTTTATGAAGTAATTTGTTTCACTAGTATTTGTTTGCACTAGTTAACGCTTGTAGTTATCGTCATTTGTATGGTTGACTTTACATTGCAAATTTTTTATAACGTATCTCATATCTATAATTGTGAATATAGAGCGAGAATAGTTTGTATCTTGTTGACATGGAGATTAGTCTTGCTGACAACAATCCACAAAACAAGACTGTTTAATACATTTGTGGTGATAAGGGTGTCTCATTGTATTGTTTTAGGTTCATTTAGCATTTTCTGAGAAAATGCATTTTTTCACACTCCTGAAATAACTGATTTTTCTAGATATGCATCTTCTTTATTTGACAGTGACGATATACATACACACATAGTCCTTGTATTCAAATTTATATATATATATATATATATATATATATAAAATATTTACACGGTCATGTCCGCTAGGTATTTCTCAGTTTTATCCAGGTTTATCCAGGTTTACATCTCAACTTTATCCAGGTTTATCTCAACTTTATCCAGGTTTACAGTTATCTCAGGGCTGTGGTATCTGAAGCCAGTCAGTCATTAGCGACTCACAAGCTCAGCAATGTCTCTGTTAACTGCACCCTAACCCATTGTTGTCTTCAGTCATCAGGAAGTCTCATCCTGCCAGTAAACATGAGACGATAGACTGTCGTCTGATGCTGCATGCTTGCTTTGTAGTGTGTGATCGAAGACACCCTGTGCTTTACGTTTCAGCTTTTTTCAGCTCCCGTTATATCAGGTAACTTGTTTTGTAAAAATGACCCGTCGCAGTAATCCTGCATCAGCGGCCTCTGGACGGACCAGCAGACGTGGTGTTGGAAGCTGGGCCTGAACTCAGCTGAACTGGCAGATTGTACAGTCACTGGTCTCTCAGAATTTCTGACGGCCTTTCTCTCTTCTGAGAATTAAGCCATTGTTATATCAAGAAAGGATATCAAGCCTTTCTTTTTGTTATAAAAGTCGCAGTGTAAATGTAGAATGCATGTGCGATTAAGCAGCAGTCTACCTCATTGCCGGTGTATAATTTCAGACCTTAGACACCGTAAGGTTAAATTTTAATATTGTATGTAATTTGGTTGAGGATAGGAAAGTTAAAATAAAATACTCACTGCTTTCCACTTCATTCCCTTTACGCTTTGTAGCTATCTGGCGTGCTTTTAGTGTTTTTACAGTTCCAAGCAGAGAGGAATGGCTCTCTGAGTCGACAGCATTCGTCATTATCCTGTGTCCTTGGTGGAAGCGGGTCCTGACGGTATCGTGGCTGTCCGGTAAACTGCACGCTTCTGCGAAGCTAAGCAGCAGCCCCTTTTGCTTTAGTTTACAAATGCTTTTCATCATAATTATAAAATAATTTCCAAATATGGTGTTCCTACGGGGACACCTTGAGGAAAATTGCTGTAATGCATCTTGACTACCTTAGTGATCACATAATCAAGAAAATAAAAATTTAAATGAAGGTAATCTACTTATGTATTTCATGTCAGCAGTGGGAAAGCCTTTCTAATACTAGAAGTAATTACTGGCAGAGCTTTTTGAAATGTAGAATAACAGGGCGAATTGCGGGGGGGTTGTGAGGCTGCTGTTTCCCCTGGTTGTGTCCGTGTGTCTTACATGCCCTTTACGTCAGGTTTGTCTGAATGTCCCCCTGCTCCAAACAGGCTCTGGAAAAGCTTTTTTCCTTGTGAATGTCTGTGGTATCAAAGACGGAACGGAAACATGGCAGGCAAACGGGCTTGTTAAACGTGCTGGCGGACCCGGAGATGAATGTGCTTCACCGTTGAAAGAGCTCGACGTGCGGTGGAGCGCGGCCGCCTGCTCCTCACGGCCGTGTGTTTTCTCGCCCGTCCCCAGGCACGCCACGTGGAGGGGACCCATCAACCCGTACTACATGAACACGGGCTACGCCCGGGCCCCCGCCACCAGCGCCAACGACAGCGAGCAGCAGAGCATGTCCAGCGACGCCGACACCATCTCGCTGACCGACAGCAGCCTGTACGTATCTCTCCAGGGCGAGACCCACTGCGGCCCCCGTTTCTCCCGCTCCGATGCAATGGCTCAAAAGGAGCCTTACAGCTAATAGTCATTTTTTTCTGAAATATGTTTATTAAATACATAAATTAGTCATAGATTTAGAAAATCTATTTTCCCGTCATAATTTAGAAATAGCAACAACAACAAAAAAGGTCCTAGAATACAAACATGAAATCGTTATGCAAACATTGAATACTTTATGATGAAAATGGCACTTTAAAGGGAACTGGATCTAAAGGCTCACCATTATTTATTTATTTTTCTTACGGGCGGGGGGGTTACGAGGTTTATGTGCAAAATAATCACAATGATTGGGAAATATTTGGATCAGATTCAGACTGAAAGATCACACCAGTATCATTTCATTTCGCATGTGTGGAATAGGTTTGGCGGCACTGAATTACTCACATTGCCAGATCTGATGTCTGTGATCTGCATTGTAATCTTTATACAAGGTGATGCCGCATCCCTCCTCTTTGTCAGTGAATTTGCTGCTTTGAATTTACCCTCTCTATGAAGTGTGATGTGTAAATAAAGTTGCCTTGCCTCCAGTGCAATTCATACAACACTTAATATTAGAAAACTTTTCATTGGCACGTATCTTGCCAGCATTTCAGAAACTAAAGTGACAGTCTGTACCTCTTGTCACTGGCAGGTTTTCACTGTCCATGTAAAGGGGACTGGAGTGCAGTGGTTTTAGGGCAATTTGCATACAATGATGAAATGTACGGCTTTAAAGTACGACTTTGTTTCCTTCGTTTGTACCAAAGAGCCTTTGAAAAGGATATTATTCACACACGTGAATATGTGTATACTTATAGCTATTTAACTGTAAAACTACTTTGTATAAAACCGAAATGTCTTTATTAGACTCATCCTGAGGTTTATTTAGTTTTTTTTTTCCATATTAAATCAACATAAATTAAAGAAGTTCATCCTCACATGCTTTGAGGATGCCGAATCTAAATTATGAATTATGTAAACGTCGGCAAAAACATTTCTTCTTTTATGTCTGAAAATACAAAAATGTAAAAAAAACGTTTTGACATTGATTCGTTATCTAGCCTTGGCTAATTAGAATATTTATAAGAGATCGCAGATCAATAAAATGCTGAGGAATGGGGGGGTCGATACATCTCTACATGTTCAGGACCTGATGATGCATTACCTATTTTTTTTATCGATTGTTTAGATACGGTGAAGAATGCTGGGCGGGCTGATGACACGCTGCTGAATTTTATCATAATTTACTGTGGAGCATTATGGGAAAATGTCAATAGAAGCTTGATGCTTGAAGATGTACACTCGGGCCTTCCAAGATAACTATTGATCTCTGCTCCGCATTGATTTTTTTTTTCCACTTTTCAGTAAGAAATTTTCTGTAGGCTGTAAATCTTCTTTGAAAAGTTTTGCAGCATAAAGTGTATTGTGTGTGTGTGTGTGTGTGTGTGTGTTTTTCATAGCTCGTTTTCTTTTCCTGCAGTTTCTTCCTGACCATAGGACTTTATTTGGCAGCTACTCGTCCCTGTAGTGGCACACCTCAACAGTGTTTCCTTTGAACGAGTGGAGTCGGGATGAGCTTCCAGGGACCGTTTGGTGGGGCGGGGGGGGCGAGTTCAGAGATGGCACCCGGGGATCGAGCTGGAGTGACATCAAAGGCTCTCTGGTGGGACGAGAACGTGTTTGAGGCAGTATAGATTAGAGCCCATTATCAGCCGTTTACCACAGACCGGTCGACAGTGAAGTCCAAGCCATCTAGACTCACCCCCTCCGAACGGAACAGACCAGAACAGGACCCCGCAGAGAAATACGGCCCTATTGAAGCGATGCCCGCTAGCTGCAGCGTTATCGCCAAACGCAGTGGCGCCCTCTGCAGCCCGTAGAGATTATCCACAGGGCCCGCTAATAAGCTTTCGTGTGTATCGGGTTTTATCAAAAGGGTGTTTCCGGTGTGCTGCGCGACACCGAACGGCACACCTGTAAATCTCTGAGAGCCAGCAGGTGGCGCTGCACACACTCCTTGCGCCCCGACGGCAAACGGAGCGTGACGTGACTGAGCCTGTCTCTCTGTCTGCCCCCCCCCCCCCCAGGGATGGGATTTCACCCTACAGGTACCGCAAGCCGAATCGACGGGAGATGCAGGAGAGCGCCAAAACCAATGGGCGTGTGCCCCTACCTCACATCCCTGTAAGTGTCAGTATGGTACTGCCCTGGAATGAGCAGGATCTTAGTGTCCAGGTGTATTTGTGGGAGGGGACAGAGGTAGGCAGACGGTCCGCCTCCCTGAATGGTCCTGTCTGATTGGAGCTTTGAGCTGTCAGTTTAAGGGAGAGGTGGCCATGTCATATTTTGTGATTTGTGATTGTGTCCCCCCCCGCCCCTCCCCCCCCTCTGTTTTAACCATGAGTGCAGAAATTGGAGGCTTTAGTTTATCTCGGTATCTTGTGAGAATTTGCTTTTCTATTTGTAACTTTGGTAACTTTTTCTTTCTGGAAAATCTGCAAAAAAAAAAAAAAAAAAAGAACTTTCGTTAAACAGTTTAAAAGGCATTTCACACTGGCTGCAATGTAAAAGCTGGATGTTGACTCAATCGTTTGAAAATGATAAAAGACATTCTTTGGCTGTTATCCTCTTCTCAATCCACATTTTCAGATCAGTCTTCTGAGAATTATGTACTCTAGCCATCTGTGTTTGTTTGGTATTTTTATAATATATATAATTATGGCTGAATGTAGCTTAATAAGCAGCGGAAACAGGCCATAGACTCACACCTTGATATTGTGTGTAGAATAGGTGTGGATCAGACCAAACCAGGTCATTCTTACTGACCTATTAGGACCCTCTGGTTCACATTCCCTTATTGTGAAGCCTAATTATACACTGATCGAAAAGATGGTGTCGATCATGCCATTGACATTAAGCAGGCAGGAGCATGTGATTGGCTAATGGTGCATCGAGGTTAAAACCTGGGGCCCAAGAGGTATGCTAACTCACATGTTAGCATTATGCTAGTTTGATGTGCTGGTCTCTCTGTAAGTAATAAGATTAGCATCAGAGGGAGGGGTTTAAGGGTTTGTGTGTTTCCACTTAAGAGTGCCCCCTGTCTCCCCCCCCCCCCCCCCCCCGCAGCGCACGCAGCGGATGCCGAAGGACGTCCACGTCGACCCGGATAAATTTGCGGCAGAGCTGATCAGCCGGCTGGAGTGTGTGCTGAGGGAGAGGGAGGCGCAGGAGAAGCTGGAGGAGCGTCTCCGGAGGGTGCGGCAGGTACACACTTATGCCTACGCACCCCCCACACCTCCTGCAGTCCATGGATGAAAAGAAACAGCCGAAGCATGCCGAACCAAAAAAGCTTTAAAAAACCGGCACTGTGTCAATGACATTCATAAGAGTGCTGTTGTGATGTAGTGCAGTTTGTGTGTTTGCATGTTCGGCTCCCTGCTTATCCGCCCGCATACCCAGCAGCCCCCGCCTGTGTTGGGACCCCCGCAGGTGGAGCTGTTCGCCGGCTGGTCATTCGGTAATGGGCTTGTTTGAAGTCTGCCGAGGCGTGAAGAGAAAGCCAGCCGGCTCCTCAAATAGATATCACGCTACAGAAGCTGCCCGTTAAGTCCCCGGGCAGGTCGATTACGCCACTGGGCCCCGGGGCCCATAATCGGCAGCCTGCTTCCCCTCCGTTGCCTTAATCAACCAGACCTTCATTACCTGTTACTGTTCCTTTAATATCTCGGACGTTTTCCCCCCTTTATAGGATTTAACAGTTAGCTGTAGTTTCCTTTGTTTTGTACTTAGCATCTGCGGTGGGGGTGGGGGTGTAGCCCCTGACTGCTCTGCGAGGTACTCGGCTGTCCCGAGAAGCTCATTACCTTCTGGCTAAGTGCAGTTGTGGCTTTTTGGCTCCCTTCTGCAACACTGGCTGCGGCAGCGCAGAGCGACCTGGCCGGCTGGCCCCTTTGAGACCCGGGCGCAGACTGGGGGTGGGGGGGGGGGCAGCACAGCAGATCTCCCGGTGGTTTTAATGTGCCTTTAACCTGTAACGGGAGCGAGTGCGTGATCCGGCCCGTTCGCGCGGCCGCCTGTCGCGGGGTAAACACAGCCACCTCCGTTTGGGCTCCGCTTCTGATGAAATGGAGCAGGCTGGGTAATGATGTGCTCACAGTGAGAAGGGTGCTGACCGCACCTCCACAGCCCCTGGGCGCTGGAGCTCACACATCAGTCGCCCGGCTTCACTCTGGCTTCTCAAATGACAAGCAGACACTGGCTAGACCCTGGCTGTAGCTCTGGAGCCGGACTCTTAATCCAGGGCCTTCCAGGGCTCGCATACATTACTACCTGAAAACAGCCCCAATGTGGACCTCATTTTTCTTTCTCTCCTGGACAAGAGTAATGATATGCTAGTGCATGTTAATTGTATGTGGAACAGTGACCTCTAGTGGTAGGACTTCTTTCATGGACTGCAGCTCAGTGCCTCATACCTCCATGGTTGGGGGTTTGATTCGTATCTCCTCTGTGTGTGTGTGTGTGTGTGTGTGTGTGTGTGTGTGTGGAGTTTGGGCTTTTCTCCATTAGTGAGGTATCTGCAGGAAACTCACAGAAATCCATGCAGTTTGGTCAATTGGTGACTTTAAATTGCCCATAGAGTGTGTGCATACACGTCTTGGTGAGATAGCGCCCCGTCCAGGGCATCTCCTGCATGACAGATGGATGATTAAATAGATCGATGTATTAATTAATTATTATTTGTTGATTGAAGGAGGAGGAAGGTGATGAGGCTGACATCTCCACAGCGCCCTCTCTGGTCAGCCACAAGACTGCAGCAGGTTCCCAGCACTATGGCACCCGGTACTGCGAGACCACGTACAACGTGGTCCAGCTACGAGATGCCCACGAGGAGGATCCCGAGTCCATCCTGGACGAGCACGTGCAGCGTGTCATGAAGACGCCAAGCTGCCAGTCGCCGGGCAACGGGCGCTACTCGCCCAAGACGCGCTCGCCGGACGGGCTCCCGGGACCCGGGAAGCACCCGGCCAAGTGCGGGCCGAAGCCGGAGCCGGCGGGGGTTTACCACCACAAGCACGCATATCACGGGCACCATGGGGGCGGCGTGAAACCCAAAGACCACGGCGACCCCGAGGCCCCGCAGAGGAGCACCCTCTCCTGGAACCTGGAGCCACATCACTACGCAGGCAGGCCGCGCTTCCCCGACAGCTCGGGGCCGGCCCCGGGACCCCTGGACCCTCTCGCACACAGGTGAGCCCCACATCCCCTGCTCACCTTCCTCCCCGGTGCCCCCTAGTGGGCTTTTTGGGTCGACTTACGACACGTACGTCCCTACAGTGGCAAGGGTGGTGCGCCGACGAAGAGGGCGTCAAAGAAGGCAGAACCAGGGGTGGGCTTGGAGGCCCTGATGACCACAGACGACCTGGGGAGGAACCAGAAGATCATGCAGTGGATGATGGAGGGGGAGAAAGAGGCAGGCCGCCAGAAGAGGTCCCCCTATGGGTACGTCAGTCAAGCCCCCCCCCCCCGTCAGTTGTGGGGTCAAGCTTTCAGATGCTGTGTTGCATGGCATTAATGTCACTTTCTGACTGCTTGAATGGCTCACATTAGAGTATTAAATTACGTCAGAAGTGATGCAGTTCTGGCAGGTCTGGTTTTTTAATTTCCTGGTCCTGGTTTGGCTTTCAGGAGTATCGCTGGGGCCAAGAAAGGTCAGGGCCATGATGCGTCGCGGGTGGGATCAGTGGAGCGCCCTGGGGCCATCTACCCCTGGGTCAGCACGCAGCTCTGGAACGGCGCCCAGCCTTCGCACCCCTTCATCCAGGACCCAACCATGCCCCCCAACCCGGCACCCAACCCCCTCACCCAGCTGGAGGAGGCTCGCCGGCGGCTTGAGGAGGAGAGGAAGAAGCAGGGTGCTGCACAGTTGAAGCCGAGGTGAGGTCATGGGGCTCACGCCGCTGCCAGGGGCGCCCCCTGCTGGACAGGGAGCCACATAACCATCCTGGGTTGAATCTCAGGATCCCCACTGTCGCCTACTCTGCTGTAGCAGGAATCCTGAGGGGACGTCGGCTGTGGCGTTTTGTCCGATTATTCAAAAGGCTACTTCACGAGACCGAAGACTCGACAGATGGCAGTAGGAAGGCTGATTTACGAGATCCCGTCGTGTTCACACTGTGCCTGTAATCTCACGCACAAACGCTTTTGGTTACAATGCAAAGTCAAGGGAAGGGAGGACCTGGCATCAGATTACAGACATTTACGCGTCATATTTCCATTCTTATTTGCTAGGCACCTTAAGAGAAAACGACACTTTCAGATACAGATGACGGACATGGAAAATACCGACAGGCAAAATGAGAAATCTGAGTATGCAGATGATGGGATTTTGCTTAGCTTGTATTTTGTGACACTGGTAGGTTTTTACGACCAGCTGCATTAATAACATTCATAAGAGCGCTGTTGTGATTTAGGATGTTCGCCCCTCTCTCTCGCCTGCGTACCCAGCAGCCCCTGCTCCCCCCTTCCCCCGCCTACTTCGGGGTATGCAGCCGTCATGGTGATCAGTCCTGAGTGAGAGTTGGGCTTTCGGAGGCCTGCTGTGGATTCTGTGGGGTGGAGCTGGGGTACTCCCAGGGCGAGCGTTAATGCCGTTACGATGAAAGCGAGGCGGGCCGGACACTCCGGGAGGCTCTGTCTCTGACATTGCCCCCCCCCAGCGGTGTGATCACGGCGAGGTGGGGAGGAGCGTGTCGCCCGCCGTCAGGACAGCACACTCTCTCGCCGGCATTAAAGGCAGCGGCGGCTGACAGCAGCTGCTGAAATACGACGGGGCTCCTGACTGATGCTGTTGGCGTCTCTTTGAAGGGATTTCAAAGGATTTACAGCTGAGCACGTGTTGGGTTTACAGAGCAAGGTCACGGGCGGCGATCTAAGGAAGAACGCGAGGCTGCCTGGCAGGGCGGCGCGACGAGCCCATGCGGGACTGACGCGTCTTTCGGCCATTTGTCTTCCAGGCACAAGGCGGCGAAGAAGCCAGCATGCGAAAACATCACGGTGGCTTATTACTTCTGCGGGGAGCCCATCCCGTACAGGACGTCGGTCAAGGGCCGGGTCGTCACCCTCGGCCAGTTCAAGGAGCTGCTCACTAAGAAGGGGCTGTACAGGTATGCCGGGGAATCGTGGATTTTCATTGGGATTAAGTGTATATACACCGTTTGGCCAAAAAGTATGTGGACACCCCTTTTATATTAAAGGGAATGGCTTACTGAGCCACACCCGTTACTGACACCGGTGCATAATTAAGCACACAGTCACGCATTCTCCTGCAACAATTAGCAGCATCAGATTTGATTGGTTATGCAGAAGAGGCTAGTGGTTTTAAACTTGGCAACGTCACAGGATGCCGTAATTCCAGCAAGTCAGTTCGCCAAATTTTTGGCCCTCAGTAGAGTTACCCAGGTCGATTGTGAAGTGAAAACATCTGGAAGCAAATTCAGCTGCGAAGTGGCAGCAACACAAACAGAAAGGGACCTGATCACCCAACATCAATACCCAACCAGAATGGCAGTAAATCTCACCAGCAATGTTACAACATCTGATGGAAGACTTTTTCCGAAGAGCTGAGGCTATTATAACAACAATGACTGAACCATGTTTTTATTAATGTCTTTGGTTTCGGAAAGACCTGTTGCTGTGTCCGCATACGTTTGGCCACAGTGTGTCGGGTAGACTGTAGTAAAATGAAAGGTTTGTAATTAAGGCGATATCGGTCTAATTGAGAGTGGTGTTTCACAGATATTATTTTAAGAAAGTGAGCGACGAGTTTGACTGCGGCGTCGTATTCGAGGAGGTACGTGATGACGACGCCGTCCTGCCCATCTTCGAGGAGAAGATCATCGGGAAGGTGGAGAAGATCGACTGAGAGGCTTCAGTCGCTCATGGAGACGGGGAGCCGGAAACGGCTCAGAGGGACGCAGGGAGGCGGGCATGTGAAGGGAGAGCGGGGACGTCACTGACTCACTGCCGGCGCGTCTCCCACGTGAAGCACAGGAGCGAGAGGTGGCTTTTGCAACATCTGAAAAACATAATCTCCCCGCCCCCTTCCTGGGGTCCCTCCTGGCCAATCAGTGCTGAGAACACAAATGGTGCTTTGACACATAGAAGCTGCACAGTGGTGCAGGGTGGAAGACTGGAAGTTAAAATAGGATGCCGGAAACTTCCACTGGCATTTGTCAGACTTTAACTGTAATGTAGCATTGTAAAGGTGTATTAGACAAAATGTACTATGAATCTGTACAAAAGCTGCATATTTTTGATATTGTGTCATAGAAGGGAAATAGCCTTTTTAATGTAATTATTATAATGTAATTTTGATATGCACAGGTACTAAATTTACCAGATATGTATAGTCAGTCTAAAAAGTTATTCTGTATTTATAAAATTATTTTATAAGAAAAAAATTGCTTTAAACTCCAAGCATTTAACGGACGAGATACTGTTCCATTTCCTGATAACTGTTCTTGGCTGGGTCGCTTCTCTCGGGCATTCAGACCCCTCGTGATGTACCTGTTTGTTTTTCCCCATCGTCGTTGTGCTTAACATGAGGAATCGGCTCGGAGTCGCCGGCTGCTCACTGCGGATAACGGTGACACGCTTCTCCTGGAGTGGACTTCAGTCGTGAAGATGGTTCCGGCTGTCAGATCGAGTGAAGCCAGACTATATGTCACCTCTCCGGAGGCGGCGGCTGACAGACCCGCTACCTCGGGATCGCCATTATATCTGTTTACACGGCAGTCTGCTCGGTGCGTGTGTGCGTCTCTCTCTCTAAAACGGACGGAAAGCGTCAGCAAAAGTCATGAAACCATGGATGACACAAACCTGTTCAAATGAAACAAGTCCAGGCAAAAGAAAACTAAACTGTCAAATATGTTGCTTAGAGAAGTATGGAATGGAGAAAATTAATCCCATTTTAAAATACCCCTTGACAATTAAGGGTGTACTTAACAAGACTTTTAAAGGGTAATCTACAGAAGTTGGGTGGGTTAACATGTCCTTTAGTATGATAGCAATTGAAGCAAAATCTAGCTTTTTTCCGCGTGTAATATAACAAGTTTCCATGGGGTGGTTTACCTACAATTCCCAGTATGCATTTCACCTTCGCCACTTGCCCCCGTCTCCTGGCAGCGCAGATCCCAGAGATTGGCGTGAATATCCTATTATGTTTGATTTGGGAAAACGGAAGCACGATAAGGTGGCTGAAATTCACCTTCAGATGATTTTGTAGGATTATTGTCTTGGGGTGAAATTGCCGTTTGCTAATGCTTAAAATGATAGGTATCTTTCTGTGATGGAGCACTGAGAAAAAGACATTTCTGATTTTATCACGTACAAGATTCAGGTTTACATTGTACTTTGGCAGACTTAAGGAAGAACTTAAACGTACATCATTCTCAACATATTGTGGCTGAATCCAGGTGCCTGGTAGTATTTTAGTCCTTAAAATTTGTACCTTTAATATAAATCTCTACTTTTTGCTGGATCGTGGAAATGCCAAAGAGCATGATATACAATAGAGATTAAATATTTGTATTCTTTTTTTATTTTAAAGGTATTTTACTACTTCATACAGTAGTGGCTTCACAATTGTGTGTGCGTGTGTGTTTTGTCTCTCATTTTCAAGGTTATGAAGTTGTGCAAAATGTAATGTGTATTTAATTCTGGAAAACATGAACACGTTTTCCTAAATTACGAAGGGGAAAAATAGGCCTAATGGAAATGCTTAAATCTGAACTGCTGGATGTACCTACGTGCTATATTCTCACCAACAGCGTCCCGCCAAATGTTATTTTTGTATTTATTCTCGCACTCATATGCAGTACTTCGGGATCTTAAATAGTATTAGGACGTGAACGGAAGCCGGTGTGTCCGTCCTGAAATTGCATTTGCTGTGTTTACCAGGATCCTCTCTGAAATAAAATGGTAAAGCATTTACTGTGGAACTCCCCTCTCCTCCCACAAAATGAAATCTCCTAGTTTTAATAAGTTAGTATATTATATAAATGTCTATCACAGAGTGCCTTTTCGATTTCGATGCATTCTCTTGTCTGTTTTCGATTTCCCAATGTCGAAGGTTTACTTCCATCCAGGGACTAGTGTCGTCGTTTGGCATTTCATTATGGTGACTCAGAGTTAGTATGACTGTGTAAATATGTATATTTTCATACGTGTCCTCGGCCAGCTGAACATCAGAATGTTTAATGCCCTGATCGTATTCCAACGTGCTGATTTGTACAGTTGTCTTTTAAAAGGTACTTGGACAATAAAGGCGATAAAATAAAACACATTATGCATGTGATTTCTTGCTGGGATATCGTAATTAAGATGTTATATGGTTTATACTTTGTAAAAGCAGATTTATTACAATACATTGTACATGCATTATATATGTTATACATGACACGAGAGACCATCTGTAACATCAGCTGCGCTCCGATTAATTTAATTGGAGCGATTTAGTGGGGATTCATTTATTAAAATATAGTATTAAAAATCGAGTGAAAGAGCAGAAAATGCCTGGTGAAATGACACAACACTGGTCGTGGTGCACCGAGTATGTGTGCGACAAATATCGTTTGGCGTTAGTATTACATCATCGGTTGAGCTGGACTGGGCTGATCATTGGCATTGACTGTAAACATGGGCTTTACATGCACTGTTGCAAGGATAAAAAAAGAAAAAGACGCAGTAAAGATTATTTTATTGTGAAGTTAAACATGAAATGACTTTTCGTTTTATAATGTGCTTATCATCCTAAATTATAAATAAATATAAATATGTGACTGTCGCTTTAAAAACACTGATATGTTGGAAGCTTCTGTTTCACAACGAAGGCCGGGTCGGATTGTAGTCGTAACTGGGCTCGTATGAGGCCCTGCTACAGGTTTCGTGGCCCTAAATTATCCCACACGGCCAATGGGGGCAGTAATACACAGAGGATAATGGAAATATGTTAGGAAATGAAAAGAAAGCGACAAAGGAGGTGATGATAATGATGATACCAATTATTATAGTAATTGTGATACTTTATTTGCCATTGAACAAGCACAAGTATAGCTACGTTGGAAATCTTTAGTTTTTACATATACCGTCTTGGTTTACACACATACACACATACACAGGTGAGAGCGAAGTTTGGGTAATTACTCTCCACAGCCGATGGGGGCAGCAACGCCCGCATGAGACCGGAAATAAATCCGGAAATTATAAACAAGCAGAAGAAGGAGGTCAAAGGTTCACCGGGAAGGAGCGTCACGGATTAGGGGCTAATATGCGCTGGTGTAATGTAGTCCTTTCGTGGGATGTGCAGTGTATACATCGTGTTTTGGGGATGGATAAACAGTTAACCGGCTAACGCCCTGATATAATATTTTATGCACTTAGACTGAGGTTAGCTAGCCATCAAATCATGGACGCCCTGGAGATGCTTATCGATGAAGTTGCTTTAGAAGGTCTGGATGGAATAACAATTTCTTCATTGTGGATCCGCTTAATGAACAGAATCCCCAAGTTTCCACTCAGTCTAGATCCTGCCACTAAGGAGTTTGTTTGGAGAGCATTGGTTTGTGATGAGGACATTGAATTCTATGAGCTTCCTCAAAAAAGGCCACAGATTGTGTTATTTGACAGGTAATGCCTATCATGTCAGTTAGCCACGGTTATTCGGATAAAACTGCATATTGCTTTTTTTCTTTATCCGTGCAATATTTTGCCAACGAATTGATGAACGCAGCGTTTATTGAGGCGGGCACGATAACTAAAAGCCTGTTTTCTTTGTAGATTTGCAGAAATTGACCCAGAAACAGGGATCCAGGAGATTCGGAGGTTCACAGGGACCGCAGACGCACGGGAAGATGTGTACCCGGTCAACGTGATCCAAGAAGACAAGCAAGGCATCCAAGGGTCGTGTCTGTATTTTAATGAAAGAAAAAACATTACGGATCTCATCAGGACACAGGACTTTAAGCCATGTTGTACGCTTGAGGACGCACTTAAAAGGTAAAGATACTGATGCAGATAGGATGGCATGGTTTACGATGTCTTTAATTAAGACGTTTGTTAACTGTCCCCATCATTTTCTTTTTAAATTTACCTAACGTACTGATTGAAAGATTGGACGGGGTAGAGTCGTGGCAGGATGGTGTCTTCTCCTTTCTGCCCCATCTTTCTTCTAATGCGTTGGATTAACTCAGGTCGTCATGAAACACCAATATTATGAACTTGCTGATACAGACTGAACCGTATTCAGACCTCTGCAGTATTCCGTTTCTGATCTAGTTTATTTCTGACACACTGGAAACTTAAAATGCAGTGCAAGAGGAATTAAACTCATTTCTTATAACAAAAGTGAGATATCAGTTCTTATTTAATTCCAGGTGTGTTATAAGTAAAACGTGCAAAATTTCAGTTATAAGCAATCTGAATTTCAAATCTGTGAGAATCACTTTGTGTCCATGCTGCTGTCTGGCAGGCTGTTAATCCTGACCAGCGTATGCCATGCTGTATATGGTGGAACCAGTTGAAAATATGAAATTACTATTCACCCAATGCACCTTCATTGTGCTTTGTTCCCAGTGTTTAGTCAAATGGACTTTATTGTCATATCACCCATATACAGGTATACATGCAGGTGGCCAGTGACTAAGTGAGGGATTCACAGCAGTTTTAAGTGCAGAACACAGAATAAGTGGGTTAGACTCAAAACTATGGCTGCACATTATCAGATTGATGGCTTTAGATGACAGGCAAAAGCATTTGTCCGAATGCTGGCTTTTTGGTACTAAATGGACGTTTGCTTGCACTTACAATTTGGTAAGTAAATATTAATGAGCACTGTATGTACTTTTGGTAAATCACGATAAGCACTGAAGTGGCGGTGAAGAAAGGGAGCGATCAGCAGGCAAAATATCTTTTGAATAGGAGATATTGTGGATAAACAAGGATAAAAAGATGATGGTGGTGTAATTGTGGGCATAACTAAACGTCCGTATACTACCGAAAAGCTGGCGTCCGGACATATGTTTATGCCCGTCTTTTGAAGCCCTGGTGATTCTTGCTCATGCGCCGCGTAATCGCGACGTGGCTTCGTGCAGCAGCTACCAAAACCGTGCTACACCTGTGTTACTTCCTGCCTGCTACTTCTTCATGTCGTGGCGCCCTGACTCCTTCACGTTTGGAAACTGCGGCAGGTGGGGAGAGAAGCTGGTTGCCGTGGCCGCCCAGAAGGTGCGCTTCCGGACGCTGATCGGCCCAGTAGGCGACCCGGAGGTGAAGCTGTCTGACCACTCGTACTGCATCCTGGAGCGCCTGGGCAGGGCCCGCTGGCAGGGCGAGCTGCAGAGAGACCTGCACAGCCGAGCCTTCAAGTACCATTCTCCCTCACTCCACTTCCTGACCGGCTGCTTCCCGCACTCCCCTCAGCTCCTGATATAACAGGGTGCCTTGTTTTCGCCGCTTAGGACCGACGCTGGAAAGATGCACTACATGAGGAAGTCCCTGGACAAGAACGGTCTGATCACACTCCAGTCCCACGTGACCCGGCTGCCCAACGGGGGACAGCAGCACTCCATTCTGCTGCTGCTGAAGAGGTTCCACGTGGACCGGTCAGTGTGTCCATGGCCAAGCACTGGCCTTAGAGCATGCACTGCTATAGAGGCCTTCATTCCTCAAATGCTGCTGGCTGTAAATTGTGGTCAAGGGTGACCCCTGTTGGCAGGAATGTTTCCAGCATGCTGGCTCAAATCCCTCCTCCTCTCTGGGGGTCTGCATGCTCTCCCTGTGTCACCTGGGTTTCTTCCAGGTGCTCTGTTTTCAGCCTGCTGTCCAGGAGCTTGCTGTTAGGATATTTGGAGTCTCAAAATTTCCCATAGTGCTTGTGTGAGCCCTGTGGCGGACTGGCATCCCATCCAGGATGGTCTCTGCCTTGTGTCCTGTACTTCCTGGCCTTGACTCTGGCCTTGTAGTGACATTGTAGTGAATAAGCATTTGGAAGATGAATGGATATATTGTACTATATTCCGGCAGTTAAAGATTGAACATTGGCCCCGGTTAGATTTAATAAGTTTTATTTTGATACCAAAATAAAGTTATTGTCTTTAATGTTTTTTGAGAAAAAAAAACTTTGCTTTGTAAGCTTTATTTTGGTAATAAAGCTTGCAATAAATCATTGAATTCCAATGGATCATTTTAGTACGGTTTTTGAAAGAAAAAACAAAGTTTGTAAAAAAGTGTAAGAAATATTCTTTATTTCTGTGAGGAAAAAAAAATGTGACATTTTTGGACAGAGAAATAATATTTTGATTCTGGAGTGATTTGGGCCACTTTTTGCTCTTTCTGCCAGCCAGCATGCTTATCTGCTGGAACCTAGTTACTGGTCTGGCTTCTAAGTTAAAGTGTCGCTTTACTTTTTCAAGGAGAAGCAAGTATGACATCCTGATGGAGAAAACCTCCAACCTCCTGTCAGCTTGTCCGAACAACATCGGCATCATGATCAACCTGAGGGAGCAACTGGTGAGATACCAGGCTTTTTTTTCGGGGGGGGGCACTTTATGGAAGTGCTGTCCAGGTATGTGCTGGAGATGGAGCGTGACGTTCTGTCTCTCCCCCCCCCTCCCTCGGCAGTGTGTGAGCGAACGCACCTTTAAGCGTGTGTACCAGTACATGATGGCCGCCAAGCTGGCCCAGAGCATGTGCGTCCCGCTGCAGACCCTGAACCCTGACGCCACACAGTGCAAGACCAAGAAAGGTACGGCCCAGATCTGCTCTGCAGCTCGCTGAGGCGGCTGCCTGCAGACCTTGGCGTGGACAGAAATGCACTCTGCATTTAACCCGTAGGGACAGACATCATGGTGCGCTGCCTGAAACTGCTTAAGAGCTACGGGAAGAAGGATGAGGAAGACGACGAGGAGAACGACGAAGAGGATGGTGGCAGGAAACTGCAGTCAGAGAGCCGCATTTTAGAGCGTGACACCCTGACACAGGCCTATGAAATAAGTATGTTGGAATTACACACTACACACAGATTACATGTGCTCAGCAGAAAGGAATTATTAATTATAAGTAGGGAGTGAATACTACCCATTAAAAAGGGGGATTTTCAAAACATTTCAAAACCAATCTAAGAATCAAACCTTTTGGTTCATGGGAGTTTTACTTGCGGAAAAAAGTTCTGAGGGTAGAATGAAAAATGATTGGTTCAGAGAGATAACTAATCAGGGGTCCAAGCAACTAGAGGACGTGACACCAACCAATCAGATGTCTTGATTCCGCCTATTCTAGTTTCTTGGGCCCTCCTCTTCAATCTGATTGGTTATTTTTCTGAACAAATCTTTTTTTCGTTCTGCCCTCAGAACATTTTTGTGTAGGTAAAACTTCCACTGGCAACCATTTGAATTTCATACATTTTTTACCGGAGGCTTGTGATTGGCTGTTTTTCAGTCATATCCAGCGGGACGAAGGGAATCTCGCAGACCGCTCTCAGGGGACGCATGAATGTCGGGAAGCTAGAGGCGCGTATGATGTGTCGTCTTCTGGAACGGAACGGCATGATCAAGGTATGGCTTTGCTCTGACCCTCTTCTCCTTCAGCACCCTGGGCCTGATTTGAGGCCTCGTCCCGGCTCCAAATTCACAGCTGGATCCGCACTTGATGGCATCTGCTTTGATCCTTGTTATTGTTGAGCCAGTAAAATTTTGAGAGGGGGGAAAAAAATCATAAAATAGTTTTTCCTGTTAATTTTAAAAGATTGTGCCTCATAAACAAGTTAAAGTATTAAGTAATTTAGCTGATTTTTAGTGACGTACGGTGGGGAGGGTTGGTATTTTGACTTTAAGGCTTTAATATTATTATGTGTATGGTCGCCACCCCCAGGGCTTCATGGAAGATGAGGGGCGGCAGAGGATCACCAAATACATCAGCAAGATATACGTGGAGCAAAGCGACCTGAACCAACAATTCGCCAAGGAAAAGGCGCGCAGCGAGCAGCTGCGGACGGGCACGGGGGAGACGGTGTGTCAGCAGAGCGAGGCCTCGCCGGCCACCTGCCCCGACGCCCAGCCTCAGCCGGCTGGCGGGGACGGGTGGCGGACGCCCGACTCCACAAAACACAGGGCCTCAAAGAAAGATCACCGCAGAAGTGAAGCACGGAAGCAGATCAAGCTGGATTGTGGAGTCAAGCACTCAACACCCATGAAGGGTGAGCGAGGTGGGCTGGGGAGGGAGGTGGAGGTCGCCATGAAACCGGCTGTGATTTTGACGCCGAATATCACTTTGCTGCAGAGACTCCATCACCGAAAGCGATCCAGGAGGTGACAGAGGTGATGGACACGACCGGGAGTGAAGGCTGGAGTGCGACGGCGGAGGAGGCTGATATCACACAGGACGTCTCTTACGAGCGAACAGAAAACACGGAGACTGAGACCTCCGTCGCCATCGTGGAGGAAAAGATCGGTCCCAAGGTTTTTAAAAAAAAAAAAAACAAACCTTTCTTGCTTCACTTCTGGCTTTGTTGACTTTCGGCCTATATCTGCGTCGTTTTCCGCCTGAGGTGTCAAATCCGTGCTTTTGTTCCAGCAGCAGCCGCCGGTCAAGAGAAAGACGCGGCCGGCGCGTATGGAAAAGCCCCACCAGACTTACAGGCTGCTTAAGCGGAAGAACCTGATCATTGAGGCAGTTCGCAGCCTCAAGATCATAGAGAGTTTATTCACGTAAGGCGTCGTTTGGTCTGCTTTGTTGCTTGGATGCTTACATCGGTAAGAAGGGGATGGTCATTCAAGCTTGTTTGATTGGTTGTTCCAAATAGTACGATTCACACAGTTTTTATGCAGCTTGTTCTAGCCCCATATCCTGGTCAGGATGGACTCCTTAGCAGGAATCTGCTTTTTCCAGGCTGCAGAAGATGATTATGGACGAAGAGAAACAGGACGGGGTGTCCACCAGATGCTGCAAGAAGTCGATCATGAGGTTGCTGAGGAGCCTGTCCAGAGAGGGCATGCTGAAGCTCTTCTGCACGACCATCATTCAGGACGGCATCAGCAGGAAGGTGCGAACATGCCAGTAGCAGCTTGTGTGCCTGTGCTCTTTCTTTTGGGGGGGCAGTGTGTAGTTCAGTGGGTTTGGGGATCTGTGTCCAGAAGGTTGTAGGTTCGAATCCCATGGCTGTTAGACAGGGGCGTTATGCAAACCAAATTTGCGAGTAGGCATTATATCAAAACCACACATGACATAAAAAATAGATGTACACAGATATTAATGTTCTTGAACCTTTATGTAACTTATACATTTTGAACATGTACAGCTAACCTTGTTTACTGTCACTGGGATGTCATTTGTGAATGTTACGGTGTGACAACTCAGTGACAATGTGTGTAGTTATCTGTAGATGACGGGAATGACGAAGGATGGGGGAGGGAATTAAGAGATGCCATCTGACCGAGGAAGTTAATTCATTGACCAGATTACCCTGACTTCAGGTTCACTGCAAATTTAACGGTGTGTTATTCATAGTCAATATAGGCACGTTAGCGGTTGACTAAAAATTGATTTTTCCGTTACATTTTCACAAAATATTGGCTAGGCACGAGCCTACCTAAATTGACCGGTACATCACCACCATTGGTAAAGTAATGATTTCGCCTTTGAGTCCATAAACATGGACCTGCTCCAGCCGTGCTAGATGCTGGCTGATCATGCTCTCTGACCCCATGCTCTCCTCACTTGTACGTTGCTTTAAGCAAAAGCATTTTCTGAATAAATGTCCGGTGTGATATTTTTAGGTGGAGTTTGTGGTCCATCCCTCTATCGCGCCAGATGATCCTCTGGTCAAAAGCGCCATCGAGCAGATCCGCTTCCGCATATCAAGCTCATACTCCTTAAACCGGTGAGTGGATTGTAGGACACGTCCCATGATCACTGTTGGCAGGGACCTCACCCTGACCCAAACCCCGATTCCACTGTCTGACCGCAGTAAAGTCGCTAACAGCGGCCCAGAAGCTGCAAAGGAGAACGAGACCCAAGAGAGAGAGAGAAGCGGAAAGGCTGAGAAGGAGCAGCCGAGAAACCAGAGGAGTAAAACGGATGAGAAGATGGGGGTCAGGGAGCAGAAGAAGTTCAAGCCTTTGATCGGTAGGCGTGATTGATTTTCTCCTCTCCTCTGATCTGGGTGGGTAAAAAAACTCATGGTCGGGTCCTTTATTTGAGGGAGGCGTAATAACGGGAGGAGCTTGCGTTCTTGCAAGCCACTGGTGAGATGGTGCCTCTATAGTCCCAGGTCTGGGCCGCTCCCTGGGCTTCCAGCCCAAGATGCCACGCCTTCGGCAGGTGCACCAGTTCCTGTGGTACCTCATCTACGGGCACCCGTTGAGGAGGGGCCCCGAGGAGAGCCACAGCATGGAGGAAGAAGGGGCGGAGCCTGGGGCCAGTGCGGACACCAATGGGAAGGCGGCACTTGACAGGACGCCGAAGCAGGAACTTTTGCTGGACACGACCCCTGTGGGCGGCATAGGGGCAGATGAGGCCTCTGCAAGTGGCACGGGGGCCGATGGGGCCCCTGTGGGCGGTGCAGAGGCTGACGGGGCCCCTGTGGGCGGTGCAGAGGCTGACGGGGCCCCTGTGGGCGGTGCAGAGGCTGACGATGTGGCCCCTGTGGGCGGTGCAGAGGCTGACGGGGCCCCTGTGGGCGGTGCAGAGGCTGACGGGGCTCCTGTGGGCGGTGCAGAGGCTGACGATGTGGCCCCTGTGGGTGGCACGGGGGGCGACGAGGCCCCTGCAGACGACATGGGGGCAGAGGTCGATGAAGAGCAAGCGGGAACAGAGATGGGTAACTATTCTCGCTGAGTTAGCCGGCAACCATTTGTGTGCCGTTTTTGCGAACGTCCTTATGGACATAAGACTCCTCTGACATGTTTGTCTCAGTGGTTTACATGGATGAGATGTCCTGGCGGAGGTTCATCCCCCCCATGCCCCTGCACCGAGGCTACAGCTGCGGATGGGCGCTCACCAGCGATATTCTGCTCTCCCTACCTCTCTCCATCTTCATTCAGATCATCCAAGTGAGCTACAAGGTAACGCTGCTCTTAGGACGGGGAGTGGATGGTAGGACGGGGCCATGCAAAGGTATAGTAAACTGGGAAAGTGTTAGTGGTTTACACAGGGAGCATTACTGGGACTCTAGGAGGACACCACCACTAGAGAAACGGTAAAGCGTCCTCAGTCCTTAGTTCTTTGGGTGGTAGGGGAACCCTACCTCTGTGATATTGTCAGACTTTTGGAAATGAGATTCCAAGCGCAAACATGTTCTGAGGGCAGAATGAAAAATTTTTGTTCAGAGACTGTAGTGAACGTGGGTCGAAGCAACTAGAGGAGGCAGGACCAACCAATCAGATGTCTTGGTCCCACCTCCTATAGTTTGCTTGGACCCACCTCCTTTACAGTCTGATTGGTTATCTCCCTGAAGTAATGTATTTTTTTTTGTGTGTAAGTAATACTCCTGCATGCATTCCAAGGGGCACATCCCCAGGGGGGATCATATAATTGCAAAAACCAGACCGTTCCGGATTGGACGGGCACAGTAGCCTTACTCTATGTACCCAAACTCAGGTGGACGACCTTGAGTTGTACCTGAACGACCCCGTGAAGCAGCACTACCTCATCCGTGTCCTGCCTGGCAGAATGAAGAAGCAGCTTCTCTATAAGAGGTAGCCCCGCCCCCTTAAGGGAACAAGCCCCTCCCCCACCCTGGGGAAGCCACCCTGACCTGCACCCCTCTGCCCACAGGAAATACATCTTTAGCTTCTATGAGAGCTTGCAGCGTCTGTGTTACATGGGCTTGCTGCACTTTGGCCCTATCGAGAAATTCCAGGACAAGGATCAGGTATGTGTGTGACAGGCTGAGTGTGTGCTTACTTTGGCAGTGTGTATTTGTGTGTGCACATACCCTCTGCATTCCTGAAAGCGTAGGGAAAGCCTTGTACCACTGGGGGGCACTGTAAGCTGTGCCTGTGTCTCCTAGGTCTTCATCTTCCTGAAGAAGAACGCCACAATCACAGACACCAGCACCTGTGACCCGCATTACAACCTGGCCCTGTCTTCCTGGCCCTTCGAGGTCCGGCGGTACACCTTCAGCACCTTTCAGGGCGTGGAGAACTACTGGTTCGACATGCAGTGCGTGTGTCTGAACAGGCGAGTGGGTAGGGGCGGGTGGCATGGGCTCTGGGCTTGGGGGAGGGGGGGTCGGGGTAGCTGGGGGCGGGGGGGGTTGGGGGGATCTGGGGGTCCTATGGCTACATTCTCAGGCGGGGAATGAAAATGGTGCTCAAGGCCTGTTTATTTTTTTGTGAAACTATGATTTTATGCCTGTGAAACATTAGCAAATTCTTATGTTCTCCTCAAGTCACCCGCAAAATGTACACTTACTATCCAGTATAGCAGTGTTTATTCCTTATTAAGATCCATCCATCCATCATCCATCCATCCTCTGCTGCACATCCGGATTTTGGTCACAGGGGCAGCAGTTTAAGCAGGGATGCCCAGACCTCCCTCTCCTCAGCCACCTCCTCTAGCTCCTCCAGGGGATACCAAGGCGTTCCCAAGCGACTCAGAGATGGAAGAGCCTTCCAGAACCCATGGCAAACCTCATCAACACCCAAATCCATACCAGTTTTTTTTTTAGTTACCTCAGTGATCTCATCCCTTGCGACTCTAATACAGCCCCAGGACAGAACAGACAAAATACAGTCGGAAATGAGAATTCAATCGAATGGGAGCGATCCATCTTTTGTCACTTAACCTAATTGGTTACATCGCAAATTATTTGTCACAAAACACCCTACATAATTTTACTGCCCCGGTAAATGTCTTTAAATGTGATATTCTTCGGTGGCTCAGAATGCCAAGGTGGCTTTTTGGCAGCTAGCCTCGTCTTCCACATTGTTTAATGTGCTCTCTGCTGCCCCCTGCAGGTGTCGTAAAATGTCCCCGTATGAAACCCAGCCGGGAGGACGAGGAGGCGGAGCCTCCGAGCTCCATGGAGCCGGAGCGACCGGAGCAGAGATACGCCAGACTGGCATTCCTACTCAGGTAGGATCCACAGGCTCTGAATCCGCCAGGCTGAGGTGTCACCCGCTCGCACCGCGGGGCTGACTGAGGGTCGCCGGGATCTGTCCAACAGGGGCAGCCGGGAGGTCGTCGATGAGGGGGTGACGCCTGGCGACAGGCAGGGCGCCGCGGGCCTGGACTCTTGCTTCTTTGGCCACCTGAAACGCAACTGGATCTGGACCAGCTACCTTCTCAGCAAGTCCAAAAAGGTCTGTGTGTTGACCTTCACTGTTCTGTAAGATTCTCCGTTACTCTGGAAGGGCACTGTGCTTGCGTTCGGAAGGTCGGCAGTTCACAACCTGTAGTCAGCAGATAGGTTTCACTGTTGCGCCCTTGAGCATGACCCATAACCCCCAGTTGCTCCAGATGGGAGCAGTAGATGCGGGTTATAAAATGTCCTCCCGTTGCCTTGCAGGTGGGCAGCGTTCTGGAAGGCAGCCCAACTGTCAGACTTAAGAACCTCCTCACTAAACACCCTTTACCCCTGTTACTGAGTGGAGGTAAGTCCCTCTATCCTGCCATGCCCCTCATCACCCTGGTGCCCCATGCGGGTATTCAGATGGGCCTCTTCCACCCCATTGTAGGCAGTAAAGGCAGTGGCATGAGGGAGCCCCCGATGGTATTAGATGAGAACGTGCAGATGGCCATGGAGACCAGCGAGCGAAACAGCCGTGTTGTTGGCGGGAAGAAACAGAAGCGGAAGAGGCCCCGAACAGTCAAGGCACCCAGGAAAAAGAGGAGAGGTAGGTGGGGGGGGGGGGTTGCCAAGTCCTGTAGGCTGACCCTGTTTGACATGGAGGTGTGTGAGTATGTCTATGTCCTCACACCTCCAGAGTCTGGGGTTAGGATTGTTAATGAGGGTTCCTACCGCAGACCAAAGACATGCAGTTACGCTGATTGGTGTTCCTGAATTACCCATAGTCCTCCTCCTTCTGTCCTGTATTTCCTGGGACAGGCTACAGGCCTCCCTGTGACCTTATTATGCAGTGTTTCCTAGTCCAGTCTTTGGAGACCCTTAGACACTGGGAACTGGGAAGGAGCTAAAATGTGGACCGTCTGTGGGTCCCTAAGGACCGGATTGGGAGACACCGCTATACTGTCTAAGTTGTTGATCTATGCATGATCTATTCTTACTACATTTACATAAATTTTATCTAGCACTTTTGTCCAAAGCAATGCACAATTGAGGCAAATGGCACATTAGAAGCATAATCGAGGAGTCGACTAGTCATAGGTGTGGCTATGCTGAGCTTCCGATGAATGTGTGTCGTGCCGTAGTGGCGAAACCGGAAAAGAAGCGAATCCGGCTCCCTTTTCACGACGAGGCTGACCGGAGCGCCCTCCTCAGGATGACCCGGCAGCGTGTGACCTGGTCCCCCCAGGAGGACAGCCTGCTCATGCTGTGCCGAGTGGCGAGCCACTTCCTCAACCGCAAGGCAAGGCTGGGGGGCGATCGGGGTGGGAAACCAGGCTCGTTTAGACGGGAACTAAAGTGCCAGTGGAAAAACGCTCCCGGCTGTCATTCATTCCTGGGGGAAAAGCCTGCATCTTGACTCCCAGTAAGATGTCTCACACCATACCTTCATACCTTCATACCTTCATACCTTCATACCTTCCTCTCAGGTGTTTTTATTCCAAGAATGAATCCCCCTGTTGGAGTGATTTTTCTAAAGCTTTGTTTGGCCACAAGAGCCCTAGTTACTAGTTGTGTCCTCCATCGACTACACCCTCCATCGACTACACCCTCCATCGACTATACCCTCCATCGACTATACCCTCCATCGACTACACCCTCCATCGACTACACCCTTGTGCAAAGTCACTGAAAGTTTGACATATCAGCATTTCAATATATGATATAACCTCGTCCTTTTAGTAGCATTTGGATGCGATTTGGCATAGAATTCTGTTCAGTTTTATTTAGCAAACACTTTTGTCCAAAGCAACGTGCAATTGAGGCAAATGGCGCATTACAAGCATAATCGAGGAGTCGGCTAGGCGTCTCTGATGGTCTTCGGGTCCCAGTACCATACTTGAATTAACGCCTGAAAAACTTTTCTTTTGTGGTCCAGTCCATCTCGCGAAGGCGCTGCTTGCAGATTGGACACAGATTCTCTGTAGGGTTTAAATCCAGAGAGAGTGTCTCCTGGCCAGTCAAGTACCTTGATTGTGTTCTTCTTTATGAAATTCCTCCTCATTTTTGACATACAATGCAGAGCTTGATCATGCTGAAAGATGCCTGACCAGTGAGGAAATGTAACCATGATTAAATTATCTTTAATTACATGATAACGTAACACCAACCCATTGGGAAGGTGACTAATGAAGGCATTGTTGGCTTTCTGGAATAAACTGAAAATCAGATCATAAAAATACCCCGTTTCAATTAATTTGCACATGGGTGTAATTCCTGTATCGTTTCTCTTAAAAATAAGTGTGTTTTTCTGCAGAAGTAGGTGGGATGATACCCAGGCAACGTTAGTCAGTCACGACATGCGGGCTTTCTGCTCCTGGGGCTCAGTATGGTGTGTTGGATGTAAAGAGGGCGGCCCCTATCTGTGCACACCGCTGAACCTCTGCCCGCTTTCCCGGTGAGCAGATCAGGAAGCCCTTCGTCCCCTGGCAAGTGGTGCGAGACCTGCTGCATGCGCAGTTCGAGGAGTCGCTGGACAAGACCTCGCTGGCGGTGGGCCGGCGCTCGCGCTACATCATGAAGAACTCCCAGACCGACCTCAACTTCAAGTGCGTTCCTGTGCCCTTGCATCACTAGTGGCTGATAACGGAGTGACACGCCGCTCGCGTGGCCATTAACTCAACGACTTTCTTGTTTTCGCTCGTAGAATATGTCTGGCGGAGGTGTACCAGGATAAAGACCTTATTCACAAATTTCAGAGCCGGGAGAACAATTACAGCAACCCTGAGGTGGGAATTGCATCCGTACCCCTATTGAGGAACACAGTGCCTTTGGTTTGGTGATAAACAGCAGGTTGTTCGGTATATAATCCTGCTGCGAAGGGACAGTAACGTGACCTTTTAAGGCTGTCGGACGCATCGTTAGTCAGCTTCGCCCTGTAAACCCGTGTGATTTCTGGCCACTTTGACCATTGCAGGTCTGTGCGTCAGAGTTCAAAGAGTTTGTCGCCGTCCTCAGGCAGAAATTCAGTTCACCTTCGGTGTTCCACAACTTCACCATCCCCGACACCAAGGCCGAGCTCTTTAGGAGGTAAAAACGAAGGATTGAAATGTGTATCGATATGGTTTGTGTAGTGAGCCTTGTACCAGTAAGTACAACTAGTTGTTTTACAGGTTCAAGGTGTATGTGATTGGAGAGGAGCTGAAGGAGCACAGGAAGGACTCCCTGATGAGGTAGCGTGGCATGTGACTGTAACCATGTGACTGTAACCATGTGCCTGTGAGAGAGAGCACTGAGTTTACCTCCCCGGGTGCTGTGATTGTAGCCTTGAGGACGTCCACTCCCTGGTTCTCAACAACCTGATCCAGAGTACGCTGGTGCTGTCCAACTCGCAGATGAAGACCAGTCTCTCCTTTCAGGTAAGAGGCAGAATTCCACCAAGGGAGACGCTGGTCTTTAAGCTCTTCCTTCAGTCAGCCATCAGAAGGCTCTGTGTCTGAGATGTACAGCACTAGCGAATCAGCAGTGTTCCCCAGCCGTGTCACATGCTCTCACATCCAAGAGGATTCACAACCTTTTATTTTTGTCTTTTTCTCTCTCTGCCTGCCCCAGACATTCCGCATCTACAGGAGGTACAGGGATGACATCCTCTACAAAGCCTTCCTGAAGTGTCAGAAGCGGGGGCTCGTCAATCGCCGTCGCATCAACCAGCTCACCGGGCCCAAAAAGAGTCGCGCCCTTCCATTTCTGCCCATGTCCTACCAGCTGTCTCAGACCTACTACAGGTGACCGTTAGCCCACCACACTGGTGGCTGCTTCAGTAGCCCGTAGCTGTGTTGGATGTTCAGATCAGGACTTGCAGCTGTAGTGGTACAGACCCAGGCGCTTCTGACCCATGTTTGTTTTGGTTTCCTTTTCCCCTGGTCGTGCGACCTGAGGTCAGCCGGTTCATGGCTGCCCTCGTTCTCTCATTGCTGAATGGTGCAGCTCCTCAGAGCTGACTTTCCACCCTTGACTTACACGCCCAGGATGGTCACACCCCCCCTAAAACGGGCCTTCTGCTGTCCCTCCCAGGTGCTTCTCCTGGCGCTTCCCCAACACCATCTGCATGGAATCCCGTCAGTTCCTGGAGACCCTTGAGAGCGTGGGCAGGGAGGACCATCTCACCACCATCCGTTTCCAGGACCAAGAGGGGGGTGACCCACAGCCAGACCCCAGCATGGTGCTCTTCTCCCTGGACTCGCCTGGGGGCTCCTGTGTGGCCTGCCTGAGTCTGATGATGCTGGGCTGGTTGACTGTGGAGGTGTCCATCCCTGAGCACATCGTGGTGGTGGACAGCACCATGGTGGATAACGAGGTGGTGAAAAGGTAATATGAGCATCCATCCATCCGTCCATCCATCCACTTATCTTTTTCATGTTGCAGCATAATATGAATCTGGAAGCTGACATCAGATTTATACCTACTTACATTTTTAATATTTAATTATTAGTTTAAATGTTCAGTGGAATCCATTTTAAACTCCCTCCTTGTCACGGCTCCTCCAGCATCGCGAAGGAGGTGGCCGAGGACGACCCCGACGACGAGGAGGGCGAGGAAGGCGAGGGCAGGAGGAAGATCGAGGTGAAGGCCAGACAGGCCTCGCACACCAACTACCTGCTGATGCGCGGTTACTGCGTGCCAGGAATCGTCAGCCTGCGCAACCTCAACACCAACGACAACATCGTGGTGAACTCCTGCACCATGCGGGTGAAGCTGCGCCACAGCCCCTCGCACCAGCTCTTCCCCAACCGCTGTGAGTCCCGCCCAGGCGACTTGGGTCCGGCGCCCCCTGTGGGCATCTGTCGGTCTCTCCTCTCATCCCAACCCCATCTCCCAGGTGGTGACTTGCTGGACAAAGAGACCCAGGCGGAGGTACGCCTGCCCAGGAACTTCACCCGTCTCCTACGGGCCTGCCAGGACTCCAGCCGACTGGAACGCTTCACTGATCGGTGCATCCACCAGTGCGGCTACAGCAGCGAGGACCTACAGGCCATCCTGGATGTGAGCAGCACCATCGAGGCCGCCCAGGGCTTCGGCTGCGAGAGGGTGGAGCTAGCCCGCATGTTCCCTGACCTGGCAGAGGTGCAGGGAGACAGGAGCCGGACCTTCTTGCAGTACCTGGAGGTAGGTGTCTGTTCAGGAGACCTATAAGTGCACCTGAGGCTTCTCCCTTGGAGGATACCACTGGGAAGGGTCCACTTTCAGCCCGCGGCGTGTCTTTGCTCAGGACCTGATCGATCTGGAGGAGGTGGTCGAGGTCGGAGGGAACTCCGTGCGGCTGGTGGCTGTGAAATACGCCGAGCCCTGGCTGGTCCACATCGCTGAGGGACTGGGACCCACAGGCAAGGAAGTCCCGTCATCACAGGACACCCGCAAGAGGCAGGCTCCGGACCCGCTGGAGGGCGAGCCCAGCGTGAAGAAACCGGGGAATGCCAACAAAGTGGGAATGCTGGGCTTGGATGGAGCACCTACAGACGGAGTCGGCCTTACTGGAGACGGGAGATGCGAGGAGCCCTCGCCCTCTGCCCCGGAGGACGCCGGTGACTCCATCCAGATGGCGGAGGAGCGCAAAGGAACAGACCAAACTCAGGAGGAAAAGGGGGGAGCCGCACCTGATGTCAATTCTCCACCTACGGGAGATCCAACTTCTATAGACATCAGCTGCTTTACAGTGGATGGAGATGACAGGTAAGCCTTGCATTTGGGTGTGAACGTCTCCAGTGTGTGGAGTGTCATTTAAGTAAACCCTAGTGAATTAAACTTAAGATCTCCACCCTTCTCTGCGTACGTTGTTGGTATATCCCCATTTCACTTATGGTGAGTGGTGCCGTTCAGATGCTGGATTCTGTTTGTTTATCCGGATGCGGTGACTCCCGTCTTCCTCCAGCGTGGCCGCAGATTTGGGCTCGAGCGCGCAGGATAGGGTGAGCTTCATCAGCCGGCCGTGGCGCGTCGTCGACGGGAGCCTCAACAAGTCGGTGTGCAAGGGCATGCTGGAGGCCCTGCTCTTCCACATCATGAGCAAGCCTGGCATCAGCGAGCCCAGCCTGGTGGAGCACTACCAGGGCGTGCTGCAGCCTGTGGTGGTTCTGGAGCTCCTCCAGGTACCGCCTATGTCCGCTAACATTTCCCCCGACATGCGTACATTGAGGGACCCGCGCACCTCAGGGTTATTATCAACGAAAACTTAAAGTATAAGAAAACATTTTCGCAATCCAGAATATAATAAGAAAATAAAAACGAAAGCTATAAATATTTTTTTCCGAAACTAACGGAAATAAAAATAAATAAATGAATAAACATGTATCTAAACATCAAATATTTTTTTTTACAGTTTTTGAATACTTTTTAGCAAAAGTAATTATCTATCTGCTTCTTCCTGGAAATCATTCGATGAAACATAATCCAGGATATTACCTTTTGATGACCATTAATAATACCTAGAACATGTTTTGCCCATTTTGAGGATGTTAATACATAATATGCAGGTTTCTCTCCTAAGATCAGACACATACGATCTCTACAACTTTCCCTCTGTCCCTAGAAATAAAATTACTAAAACTTAAATATATGAAGTAAATTATATCTTAAAAATAAAATGAATAAAACTACACTGAAATCTAAAATTAAACTGGATTTCAAACTAAAATTGAAAATAAAAATTTAAAAATATATTAGCACTGATGTAGTGTGACCCTTCTCAGCCGTCTTTGACCGGGTTTTTATCATCGGTCCTGTTGAGGTCTCCATGAATCCTTGTCCCATTTCCCCATCAGGCTCTAGAGGACCTTGGCTGTGTGTGGAAGAGGTACATTGGCAGGCAGGCCAAGGCGTCGCTCTTCTCGCCTGCCCGGGTGCCGGAGGTGAAGGATTCCGCGAGGCTGCGGGAAAACGCCACCCCCTTCTACGAGCCCACCGTGGACTGCTGCCTCCGGCTCGGAAGCCTCTTCCCCGAAGAAGACAACTGGAACCGATGGGTCCAGTTCACGCACAGCTGAGATGTCGTGACCAGCGGAGACATTTCTGGGCTGAAGGGGGCACCCCGCCTGTCCTTATTCTCCAGTTTTATTTATTTTTAAGTTCAGCTTTGCTCTTTGGAGACTAATAAATGATATTTATAATTTCAGTCTCTGTTCTGGTCATTCACATGGATGTTGTATCAGCTAGTAGGTATACTTTAGTAAGTGTTGCAAAATGAAGACCCCAGAATTTATTTACCATAGTTTTATTTTTGTAATAAACATTTTTGTACATGTATTGTACATTTAAAAATTCAATAAATATCACTGTCCCCATAAAACTGCCTCATCAATTTTAGTGTTCAGTCTTACAAATGAAGCATCCTGGTAGCAAAATTCCGCTGTTTTCTGGTGTATATAGTACTACTTGCTCTTCCAAAATTGTTTAAATAATTAAATAAAAAATGGACATACAGCCACCCAAATGAGACAGTTGCCACCATCACAATTTTCCAAATGACCTCAAAACGACCACAAAATGACCATGATTGTTAAACTGAAGATATTAAAAGACTTAGAAAAGAAAAAAAAAAAGACTTTAAAAATTCAAGACTTGAGTCTAATGTGCTTATTCTATTGTCACTTTTTACCCCGTTTCAACCTTCATTCACACACTCTTCTCCCCGTTTAAGGCAGTAAATAAAACCCCTCACCTAGGACAAAGGTCACAGATTTCCATTAGTGCTCTGACTGTGCTTTGTCAATATTGCTTGTACAAAAAGCCCTTTGTTGGTCGATTTAATTATTCAAATGCTCTCAATTACACTACATTACATTTCCCAGAACACCACTGCATAAATAACTATGGCTTTAAATTTCATAAACATTTAAGAGAACGTGCAATCGCCGTCCGCTGCCTGGCAACCGCGTCCACTACGACTCAATTCTGTGGATATTTCTGGAGGTAGTTTAATGAGCGTGTCAGAATGGTATGTGTTTGGGTCCCAAAGCGGTTTATACGGAGCGGGGGTGGTCAGCCGTGCCCCCGAGTCCTGCACATCCTCAGTACGCCCACGGGCTGATCCCCGACAGTAATCGCCTGCTGTGGTTAATTTACAGGTCAGGCTGCTTTGCAGAGTAGGCCTTATGTTTGCCTGCAAAGTCCTGGTGACCTCTGTGTATTGAAACAATGTACTGGTCAGGCCTGATATGGAGGCCGCCTTCAGGATGATGGGTCTGCAAAGCAGGTCTCAGGTCTACATGGCCAAACATGGACTGATGAGCAGTGAGGGGTGTTTAGGGGCTGGTTCATGTAAACACCTGAAAGCACTTCTGGGGCAATGAGCTAGTGATTGTATCATATATTCAGAAAATCAATGCTGTTAATAGCCACGTGATGTATATCTTCATATTCTTGAACAGCTGTAAATGACAATTGCAGAATTAACATCTGGCTTTTTGTGCTGGCTCTATCATTTGCAGCAGAAGCTTAAACAGCTTTAAGTGTCCAGCACACCCGTGAGATCTATAAACTGTTGTTGTTTTAGAAGCATTGTCCCAGAAGATTATTTCCCCAGAATCCTCAGCTAAACATGCAAATAGGAACAAAACTTCATTACAACACAATGGAACATGTCAAACCTGTTTTAAGTACAGACCTCCGAGAATCACGAAAGTGGATTATCGGCCATTGTTGCAGAAGATGGCTTGGGAACTGGTCATCTGTGCAAAAACCCAGGTTAGGAAACAACCTTCTTGAATAATTATCTCGGTGACATAAATCGAATGGTAGCCCTCTTTCATATGAGACAGCTAAGCTGCTGTAATTCATTACTACAGGGTAAAATCAGATTATATTCAGGAAAACAGTGTCTCCTGTTTCTTGGTTGGACAGAAAGTGGCATAGATCACTCATGAGTCTTCAGTTACAAAATAATAGCATCTCAAACACAAGCTTCGGGTAACTGGACTGTTTCCGTAAAGTTTCCCACTGCCTGTTGTTGGGATTTTATAGCCCTTGGAGTGTGTAGGTGTGTCTGTTTGATGTGTATGTAGATACCAGTGTTGGGATGCTGTGTCTATGGCTCACAGCGAGCCTGGCCTAGGCGTCCTGAGGACTATCTGGAGACGAGCGAGCTGCTTTGAGACTGGCTGGAAGAGGTCGTGCCTGCGCTGAGCTGTGAGAAGCCACTGTGACACGACTCCAGGCTGGTCATGGACCCCCTGCACAGAAGGGAAACCCTCAGTCAGTGACACGCAATTCCTCCACCTAGGGACAGGAATCCCGACATACCGTAATCTCTCTAAAACACGCTCACTGTTTCTGTGACATGGACAGGGGTAGATTAACTTCTCCAGGGGCTTTGGGCTGACATGGAGTATTGCACCAGCAGACTACTCAGCTAGGTTTAATAAGCTTAGCCGTTCAATTTTTTCCTCGTTTTGTAGAGAGGGGCCCCTGATTTTTCCAGGGCCCTAGGCTGTAGCCTAGGATAACCTATGCATTAATCTGCCCCTGAACACAGAATTGTTATGAGGCCCGTATTAGAATGTTACCTGTTGGAAAAATGACAATATGATCAGTGTGCTATACAGAAATATGAGACCTGATGTTTAGCAATTTCACTTGAGTGGGTATCATTTTATTTGACGTGACAATGATTTCAGCTCGACCAATAAGGGCTCAGACAATAAGGGCTTAGGAATGACATCATCGCATCAGTCATCTGTATTCTAGAGAAATACATCCTTACAGCAATGCTCTTTTCAATATTCATAGTGTTTAAGATCCACAATGTTACCACTATGCAAAATGTCATGAGACGCAAATGAAAATGAATAGTTTTCTATATGCCTGCATGACTTGATCCATGAAAAATGTGAAGCAAGAGCTAGATGGAAATGCACTGTCAGTGGTCTATAGGATGAGCTGACTCTGTGGTTAGTGTATGACAGATGAGAGCACACTTCTGATGAGCCAGCACCCCAACGCCGCGTGGTACTGCCTTACGGCGGGGGGGGCTGTAGTTTCACACGACACCATGCGCTGCAGTCATGAGAATGAGAAGCCTGAGTTCTCACCTGAAGTCTTCGGAGGCCAGCACCTCGGTGTAGTACATGACCTTGCACTTGTGGGACGAGACTTGCAGAGAGGCCAGCATGTCGTCCACGCGGGGCAGGGCGTTGCTGGAGCAGGAGGCGGGGCCTGTTAGCTTCCACTGGAGGATGTAGAGGCCGGGCCAGCGGGTGACGTGGGAGCCCTACAGCGAGCAAGACATACACACGTATGGGTGAGGGGCCCCCCATCTGCGGGTTGGGGGCTTGCTCAGGACACATTTAATGTCAGTCATATAAAAACTAGCTCAAAGTTGAAATATATACAGACGCTCCTCTACTTACAAACTTTCAACTTACGAACTTTCAGACTTATGAACGAAGAGGACCGTAAGTCCAAATTGTGTTCATTGGGCTCCCGTTTCCTGTCCGCAACATCGTTTTTTTCTCTGCGAGCCAATTCCGCCTGGTACGACTTCTGGCCGCTACTCCCGCCGCGCAGCAGCGTAGCGTGCGTACTCCCAGCACCCTAGTTCTTTGTACTTGCGTATACCCTTAAAATGATGTTGAATAACAACCTACGAACATTTCAAGTTTTGAATGGCCGTTCGGAATGTATCTCGTTTGCAAGTAGAGGAGCGTCTGTACTCAGTAGCCACTTTAGTAGGTACCTCTACATAGTAGCAAGTAGGACTAACTTCTGCCTTCAGACAAGAGAACTTGTAGCCTTCCTGTTAGCTTGAACGAGTCTGACCATTCTCCTCTGACCTCTCCCATTAACCATTAAAACCATTTTCACATGTCAGGAGTTGCCCTTTCACACATGTGGCACATAACCAGAGACTATCTGTGTCAGACACGTTCACACCTACTACGAATACTCTGGTTTGTTTAGACGACGGGCGGGGTTTGGGTAGAGCACGCTGCAGAAATCACAGTGTTTTGCTTACAGCGTATTGAAGATGTTTGCTGTTCACCTGCACTTCAGCTGGGATTACACTGTGGTCACGAAGCCAGACTGTAAGCTGATCATGCACAACTAAGTCCCTTGCAGTTCCTTAAATCTGTCAGATGATTTCAGCATCAGCTCTTACTGATAGAATTCTCTGATTGTTTGTATTCTTCTGTTTTCTCGCCAGTCCCATGACAGGAACGTCATCGTCTGCCCACTCGCTGGCGGTGAATTCTCCAGAGTTCTCCCTGCTCCATTCACACATGGCGGTCAATTGGAAATTTACCCAGACTTTGTACTAGGAACCCAGCGGCTTAAAGTCCGTGTGATGTCCGGTACGACTGATTCTGACGGTTGCGTTCACAACTACAGACCCTCCTGGTAATGTCTAGAAAATATCAGGGCGGCAGTGGGTGGGGTTTAAATCTCTCATCAGCCTCCATTATGCCTCTGACTGGATGTTTTTTGTCTACCACGGTTTTCTCTATAAACTCTAATCACTGAGAATGAAAAACCCAGAGGCGTCTCTATCTACGATGCTGGAACCACCATGCCTGACACAATCAAATCATGTTCAAAATCACTTAAATCATGCATCTTAGCCATTCTAATGCCCAGCCAAGCATTAAATGAACCTACTGAACTTGTCTGTGTGCTCTGTGTGCTCAGTTACAGTCACGTGATTCCTTGTTTGTACTGAAACTACATGTATAGACCTATCAACTGCAGTAAGACGGCTTATATATTCAGGTGTGACTCACTCGTCATGAAATACAATGATTAAAAACAAACAAAAGCTAAGGATTAATTGAATATTTTCAAAACGTGACAGAAACTATCAAGACAGACAGCTACCACACAGCCAGCCAAACTCTGATCTGGTGCTGAACATAGCAGAATGAACAGACCTTAACTTTCAAGATAAGATTTTAATTGGAATTTCTCGGTCTTCCTACATGTGTGCAAAGAAAGAGATTAAAGGCGAACCTGGATGCTCTCGCCCTCTCGGCATACGAGCGAAGACTCCACCATGCTATAATCCACGCCCAGGACCCAGCTCTTCTCAATCAGCTGGACGTTGTCCACACCAGGGGTGGAGGTCAATGGGTCCTTCTTGATAGTCTGTGGAGACCTTTTGGAGTGGAAGATGTTGAAGACCAGGTCCCCCTTCAGGATGTCAAAGTCCCAGGTGATGACTGAAGAGCTTTCTAGGATCTCAATGACGATCTTCAAAAAACAAATTAAAAGGGCATGTAACTGATGTTCTGATATTCAAGCAATGAGTCATAGTAAATATCTGTGAATGTATGAATCTCACTCCCCCGCGACCCCCGCACAGAATAAGCAGCTGGAAGATGATCAGATGCATCGATTAATTTCATCACTGAAGTAGCCTGCGATGAAATCATACATCCATTTCCCCCTCTGTAAGCCATCCCATGATGCCACCCACAGTCACACACTAATCAACACCTTCGGATTGTGGGAGGAAGCCAGACAGCCTGCTGGAAACCAGCACAGAAACTGGGCGACCGCACAAACTGCCCAAACGTGGATGAGCTGTCCAGGAACCACACCCAGACATGCAGCCATAAAATCACACAATTACAGGCACAATGCTAAGATTTGTCGACACTAACAAGACCTATGATTAGCAATTCTATACAGTGTATAGAGAGGAGAATAATGAGAATGAAAATGAACTATCTATGTCTGAACATGATTACCTCGTGAGGAGCTCCTTTGAAGACATGAGCTGACTGATATATAGTTTCTGTCCACAGTTTAATGTGGTCTGAGTTTTCAAGGTCCTCTTCTGTCTGGTACAGAGATTTTGGTACGAGGCCTCCTTCTGGGACAGTGCACTGGAAAAATGTAACGTTCAGAAACGGGACTGTCTTTCTGTGACCGATTTCAAGGCAAAAACAATTTAAAGGGTTAAAATCAAACTTTAAAAGGTCAGAATAAAATAAGGGTTGTGGATGTTCTAATTCTTGGTATTAGGATGCCATTCAAAACATAAAAACCCATCTTATTAAAAAACACAATGGCGAAAAGGAGCTTACCATACAATCTCCCCCGAGGAAGTCGGGGATGATCTCTTTATCGATGTAATCGACCAGCCCTCCCACTCCCTGGTAATTGTTCCCGCTGTAGACGAGGAATTTCTGCCGAGTGTTGTCGTTAATGAACGGACTGACCTGGAAGTCAAACGGACATTGCTAGCAATCCGTTCCCATTTTCAGCATGCCGTTTCATTTTGCTTAATCGTGTGATTAAAATATTTCTGAAAGTACATTTTTTTTTGCCTTGTTTCAACACTCTGTACCATATTCCAGCTTGAGAGGTAAATATCACTTTGACAGACTGACGGAAAATGTTTCAAACTTCACCAAATCTCCACATTTAAAGGTGCCAGTCTGATCGCTGCTACAGTAAAATCCCGTTATAGTGGACTCGCTTAACGGAAAATCGTCTACAACGGGCGAGGTCTGCTGGTCCCGGCCGTGCACCTTTACGAACATGCAGAAAAAGCATCGGATATAGCGGACTCGCATATAACGGAATTTCGCTTATAACGGACAAACAATTTGGTCCCCAGGGCCGCTTTTAGCTGTAGTTTTGTTCGGCTATAACGGACATGCAGGCTCCGCCTACAAGGCGCGTGGCGTGCCGGTGATATCCAGCGCAGATACGGAGTCGGGATTATTAATAGTCACACATCTGGTCAGGTAAAGTTGGATTATTACATGTACAATATAATAATCTATACCACAAGTGTGACTGCTGGGGTGTGGCATGAGTAAATGGTGTCCTGTAGTTGTGTTCTGGCCATACAGCATCTCTGGATATAACGGACTCTGGATATAACGGACTCTGGATATAACGGACTGTTTTGCCAGGTCCCTTGAAGTCAGTTATAACGGGATTTTACTCTATTCTGCAGACTCACCAGGGTCCAGAGCACGGGGAAGACCCGAGGAGCTCGCACGATGAGGAGCCGGCCCAGCGTCTCAGGGTAGTTAGCCTCCACCACCTCGATGATGCGGAGGAGAGCTTTCACGCCAGGCCTCCAGAGATGCCGCATGTTCAGACCCTCCAGGTCCACCAGGCAAGTCCACGACCTGAGCAGAAGAGGCACATGCTCTCACGCTTATGATCACACCTACAGTTACAGTCTGACCTCAGTAATTTAGCAGGGATGGATTAGACCCAACCATCTATCCACCTATCCAGTGAGCCTGAAGACTATCTCAGACAACATAGGGAAGCAGAACACCTAGGCGTGACAGCAGACCATCGCAGGGCACATGTATACACTACACCAGGGTGTGATGCCAATTAGCCTAAGCTTAGGAGTACCTGAAGGAAACACACAGTAACACAGGGAGAGCATGCAAATCCCACCCAGGAGCTTACTCTGCAAGTAACCCTAACCCAATGCCAAATGAATCATCACACTCCCAGGACAGAATGGAGGTGTGATCAAATTTTCTATATTTAAAACTTCAAATGTGTTTATTAATTAAATAATTATTTAGGCAAGCTTACGGTTTAAGCTTTTTTCATCTGAAGGTAGTGAACAACCCGTCCCCCTTTATTGATTTGGATCAATAAAGGTTTGGAAACATAAAACATTTATCTAATTAACATGGCATACTAACGTGATAGGTCTTCCAAATATCTTGGTGTTTTCTTCACATCTTTTCTGTCCTTCCTCATTGATTGACAAAACCTAAAGTGAAAACATTTTGAGACACACAAATAAAACACTTTCTTTTGCTTGCAGTTTACCACCCAGAATCATCCCCCTGAAAGCTGATTGGCCGCCTCCCCTGTCACTCACACATTCAAAACATTTCATTGGCTAATGATAAGGTCGGCCCATCTGTATTATTTACGGCCCCTCTTATGCCGCCCGCCTTCTAGAATCGTCCCGGTGGATGAGTAGGATGTGGAAATTCAATCAGACGCAGTGCAGGAGGACAGATAGGAGGCACCCACGTGTCTGAGCAGGGCCTCCTCCCCCAGGGCCTTCACCAGTCCCTTGGTGTCCATCTGGCCAAGGCGCAGGATGTAAAGCGGCCGGCCGTCGCTGTCGTGGAAGTGCCAGCCGCCGGCGTAGCACTCCTGCAGGAAGCCCGGCGGCCTCCAGGTCTCCAGGATGTAGTCCACCTGGTACTGCTTCCTCCAGGCCAGAGACTGGCACAGCATCTCGCGCGCCTTGTCCAGGTTGAAGTCGCGGGCACGCAGGAAGCGGAGGATGTGCTCATCTTTGGGGATCTGTGGACGAGGGTGGGGGGGGGGGCAGAGTGTGGCCCTGACCACGTCAGTGTCTGGGAATCTGCCGACAGACACCACAGCAGCTAACTCCCATTAACAGATACTGATGAATATGAATTATGATCCATTCATGTTGCAAACAGCGCTCTGTTTTCAACATGTCGCTGGGATTGGTGATGAATGCGGCAGGTCATGCAGGTCAATCGGAATATGAGTCACAAGGATATAAAATACAGTGAGCAGGACGGCAAAACTCTACAGCCCGTTTTAGGCCGGTTTGGAAAACGGAGCCTCCGTTCTGTTTCTCCCTGCATCTGTTCGTCGAAAGGCATTCTTGGTAAAACCAGGCGGCCAAACTCGACAGCATGTCCGTCGGCCAGACGCGGTCGCCTACTGCCGTTTGTACTCCTGTCGTTTAAGCAGGCCGCAGCGTGTTATTTTGTTCGAAAGTCAAACAAAAGCTGAAAAATCATTTATAAAGAAAGTGTGACAGAAGTAACTTCCCAAACTGAAAAAGGGATCATGGATGAATTTAAACGTAAAGCAATTCTGGAAATTTCCATGTTTTAGCAATAGCCAGTTCTTTAAAGAAACCACAATAAGTGAGACACAGAATATCAGGAGTTTCTTTATACATGACTGATCCCAGTATGTTTGCTCAGACTTTATTCACGGATATTACTGTAAAGATTCCTGGATTAGACTTTTTGGATTTAGATTAATTCCTAAGGGAAAATGATTGCACTGACCATTGCTAAAACATAAACATATAAATACCCCGGGAAGTTTTTGTGAACATAGAATCTGCAAGGAGGTACTTTCATCTCAGAAGCAAAATCAGTCGTCTACATTTGCACCTGGATCACTGCTCCAGTCAGTAATTAATCGCCACATGTCAACACTCACAGAAAACTGCGGCTCCACAATGAAAATCCAAAATCCCCTGAATATCTTCCACCTCTGATCCAATAGCTTTGAGAATTTACACGTGGCATTTGTTTGACACGATGCTGTCATACATCAAACCGCTCCTGGGAAAATGATCAACTATTGCTTTCTTGGTTGAGGTCAAGCCAGAGACAGATCAAACTCTAGGTGCTGATTTCCATTCTGCGATGGAATTTCTAACAGGTCTCTCCTGTCACTCAGCTTTTGATCAACTGGGGGTTCCTCCTCAGATCTATAGAAGATCTCCACACGTGTCACACAGCATGCATCAATGTTTACCTTCTCTGCCTTCCATTCACCAGCTTCTGACTACAGAGAAAAGAAATCATTAAGCCCGTCGTAGGAGCACAGTTCCTGCAGGCCACAGTCACCTGATCTGCTCACTCGTAACCTCAAGAGGTTAAAGGTCTAACCAAGCTACCCACCCAGATTTATGCTTAAGCTAACTCACTGCGGGGCATTACACAGCTAGATTATACATTATCCAGCATGGAGTCATTCATTAAACAGAACAAAGGTAAGGGGGACTTTAATTCGACTCAAATGTTTAAAATAAAAAAAATAAATGTAACATCTAAATGGGCAATGTACAGTAATGAGGAAGGCAAACACATTCTTCGCCTATATGTCATGCACATAGAGTCCTTGTTCATTCTTGTCACGACAATGAGATCAAGAAGGACAAACACTGTTTAGCGATATAACTGAAGGTAAAGTGCAATGTGTAAATCAGCACAGGGCTGATATTTTAGGCTGGCTCACCTTTCCTTTGTGCGTCTCCTGCAGCCACTGCCGCAGGCGAATCAGACAGCTTTCCTGCATGGGTGTTAACTGTCCCAGGTACCGCTCGATGTATTCGGCATCCAGCTTGTCGGCTGAAGGAGACAAAACACAGCTAGCTGGTTCCCTCAGAAAAAAAACCCCACCGAGTCTTAGAAGGAAGACATAGTTTAATCATTACTAAAGAGCTCACAGCTCACCCATTGGATTTCATGTGTGTAGGACCCTCGGCCGTCCAGGAAATTGCCAGCTGTGTGTGTTGTTTTGATTTCACTATCTGCTCCTATCGGCTTGTAATGGCCTTTAAACGCCTGACTCAGCATGACGCTTCTATGTGTGCACTGTTATGTTTGGGGGAGTAGAGGGCAGCGCGTGAAATGATTCTCATACACCTACATCATTTAAAAACTCATATACATAAATAATTGACACGTAATTTTACCCAAAGCGCTCCTTTTTGAGGCACCACTTACCAAAAATTGCATGAACTGTAACAGAAGGATATGAAAAAGGGACTGTGGGCTATTATAAAATGCCAGTAAAAGATAAATCACAAATCATTTTCATCTCTGTTCACTTTTAATGATATATAACATCCTAGTTGGTAGCTTTATGCTATAACGTTTGATAAAATCCCTTGAGCAAATTACATTATGCATTTTACATTGTTCTTTTTAGTTGTGGCAAACAAGTAATGGCCCTCGTAAAGGTGTGTGTATATATATATATATATATATATATATATATATATATATATATATAAATAAAAGCAGACTGGCTTTTTAACTGTACCTGATGTGGAGTTTAGAGCGAAAATAAACAAATGATTTTTCCTTTTGTTGAACGTTTGCTGATATTACACCTTAATATTTCATCTTGTATTCTACCCTGACCACAGAAAGCCCTAAGCAGATTCTGCTCCTTCAGTGACATTTACTACACACACAAAGGGCTGAGTCGCTAACCCTTTTCATTTCCAGGGCTTCTATTGTTACGTTGTATATTGTTGCCTTTTTGTTTAAATCTCAGCAAGCTTAAAATAAACCTCCCAGAAAAAGTGCAGCCTCAGCCCCAGTCAGAGCTCCTGTTCCGGCTGATAAACGGCAGCGAGAGGAAGGCGGAGAGTGAGACAGGAGCGTGATCAACAACAACCCGGCTTCTCTTTGTCTTTCCTCTGTAATATAGCTTCACACCTCTAGGGCTGCGGGTTCAAATCCTGTTTCAGACTCAGTATCTATGTGTAGATGCACGTGCATGGTCTCCTCGTGTTTATGTGGGTTTTTCTCCGATTGTCCAAAAACAAGGCGGACTGGCATCTGTAAATGGCACATAGTGAGCATGTGTGTCCTGTGATGCACTGGCATCCCGCCCAGGGTGTCCCCCTGTCCTGTGTTTCCTGGTACAGACCTCATACTCAGCATGTCCCTATACTAGATAACCAGTTATGGTCCCTCGCCTTTGCAGAATCCCCCTCTTCCCATAACAACCTCCTTGGTGTGTTCTGATTCGTCGCGGTCAGTGAAGGCTCCGCCTCTCGCAGATGCGTGTTTGACCCCTGTTCAGGCTCTGTGACCGTGGGGTACATGTTCTCCCCTGGATCCTTCATCAACTTCGCTGTCATGCAGCTTAGGCGGACTTTGTGTTTCTGGATGGCCGGAAAGGTGTAATTGTGCGCGTGTGCGTGCGGTTGCGCGTGTGCGTGCGTGTGCGTGCCGTGCGATGCACGGGCATCTCGCTGGGGATGGCCATCCAGGTTGCCATGGTCCTGCACTGGATTTGGGACTTTGGAAAGACACTCAGCATTCATCAAAATGTGTATAAATGCTTCTGGCCATAAAATGAGGGAGGGGCAGGTAAGGTCAGGTGACATACTGTGAATCCTGACCCCGCTCTCACCCTCTGGTATTATTAAATATATCTCATCTCCTCTCACCCATATAATCCCTCTTCTTTCCTCCTATCCTGTGTCAGAAGGTTCTGTTCCCTCTCCTGCTCCAAGCATGTCTTACATGCTATAAAAGTGACGTGCTCATCCATTCAGCCTATTAACGTTGGCTCTACTCACCGTCTGGATTGGAGGGGTCAGCAGCATTGCTGGCCTCCTTCCCGCTGCTGTGTGCCAGCGAGTTGAGGGCCAGTCTGGAGACAGGTGTGGGGTGAGGGGGGAGGTCACAGGGGGGGGCGGCCGGCTTGGCCGGGACCTTCTGCTCGGGTGGGACCCAGCGAGGTATCTCAGTGATGCCCTCAGCTATGAGCTCATTCAGATAGTACTCAATCACCTCCTTGCCCTAGTGGTGAAAAGCAGTGGGATCCTGGTGATTAGACGGCCCTTACAGAGGAGCCCAAATCAAATCAAACAACTTTTTGTAAGCTGTCATGTCACTCGACACTCAGCAGAGTGTAGAGGAATGAAAGGTTTATGTACGCTTATGTGCAGCCAACAGAAAATATGCCATACGGCAACAATAAACAGTGTGCAACTTCAGAAAGATACACAGCACTGTGCAAAGCCTCAGGGAGTCAAAGAAAATGTTAAAAGCTATTTATCTGGGTAGTCAGTGTTCACTAGTGGCCAAAATTGTGGAAACACTTCAAATTTTTAGAGATTGCAAAACATTACTCCAGTTACTCCAGTTTCTTATTTAATCATCAAATGTATGATATATGTAAATATTCTTTGTTTTTAAACATCACCGCCAATATTCTTGTAGTAATTTTTAAAGCATAATACCAAAAATGCTAGGTGTTTCCACAATTTTGGCCACTAGTGCATATTTCCACAGAAAAAAACACATAATTTAACATTAAAATTTAGGCTAATGACAATTAACACGATAAAAAAAAACAAGAATATTCCCTGTTCTCCAAGACTTTACTAATATCTTGCTAGATGGCCAGAAGAATAGAGCTTCCGGCCGTGGTTTTCATGGCGATCCGCGTTGGGGAATGATTTAATGCGCGCGCACCCTGGCGCCCTGCCTCTGTCTCTCCACCCGATTACCGCTGTCACCTGCGTACCGCAGAGGTCTGTGAAGAGGCTCACCTGGGACGACCCGCCCTACTGAACTGAGGTCCTCCAGGAGCGCAAACCCTTCAAAGCCCTCATTAATCCTCTCATTAATCAAGGCTGGAGCATAAAACCCTCCATTCCTTACCTGACTGGCATCATAACATATTTTCATGCCATTCGCTCTCTCCTGGGCCACATAACGACAGGTTAACGATGTCATTACTCGGCTTCATTATCGCCACGCGCAAAAACGTCTTTCCCAAATTCATATCTCAAAGTACACAGTTTCCGTAATGCTACAGTGAGTGCATAGGACACACCACTGGGATTTTTACATAAATTTACATTTACATTTATTTGTTTTACTTTGCCAAAAATGCGACGTGGAGGTGAGACAGATAATACATTGTAATCATACAGCTTCCACTGAGTGAGCAGTGACTAGTGCAAGTTAGCAAGAGCAGAAAAAACATTACAAAACCAGTGTTACTAACTTCGATCAGCTGGCTGGCATGAGATTTTCAATTTGTGACAGTCTGCACACTCATTTACATGTATGTAACAGTTTTATTACCCTGTATATAATCTGTAGAGTTCGCAAATTGCCCCAGCACTATTGATGTAGCTAATTTTATGTTTATAATGGAATAAAATAGATTTGCTCTAAGATTTCTTGCGTGAGCAAAAGCATGACTGTCACGCCAGATGTGTGAGAGCATGTTTTTTTTGTACAGTTTTAGCAAATGGTAAGAGAGTACCTCTCTGATATATACACAAACAAAACACCTACAATCAACCAAATTAGCTACAGTATGTTGAGGCCTGAGCAGAATTAACCCAGCTGCTAAATGTGCCTTATTGTGAATAAACACTTGTGGATAATTGCTTGGAAATTTGGATAATTATGGCAGGTTAGTGGATGTGTAGAATCTAAGCCTGGGATATAAAATAGAAGTAAAAAGGAAATAAAAAAAACAGTAGGTGTAAAAAAGGTGTAAAAATACCAGTATGAGATACATCACAGAACAGTGTCTGGCTACAGTTGCTATGACACACAGCCCTCTGCGCAGACTGTGCCTCTGACAGGCGGCCCGGAAATCCGGCACAATCATCGGCGCCGCAGATCTGTCAGAGCCCGGCTTGACAGGCAGCCTGATAATGCCGACTGTGCTTGTTCTGTAGCCAGTAGCGGCCTGATCAAAGACATAAAAGCCCCCCCCCCCCCACCGACTGCCTAAAAACAGCAATGGTTTTGCTTTTGTCAGATGACTTGAAAAATCTATAATTTTCCAGATAGTTTTTCGACTAGGTAAGTTTGGCCAAACTTAAATTTAATTTATTTGCTGTCCTGACCTGTTTGATTTGGGTTGAATGTACTTCGTTTGACGGCAGCCGGATGACGATTACATACCGACGCACCCTTCAAAGCGCTCGCAGCCTTTATCACAACGACTGAAACTGCTATTTAGTGGATCCTTCACAGTGCCATTTAGCCGTTTAATGAGAGCTTTTCATGCCGGTGCTGAGCTGAGGGTTTTCGCCTCCGCGGTGCGTCACACCGTAATTACCCGCTTGATGTTGGCTGTGTACTGCTTCATCGCGATCTTCTCCACTGTGTTCTCGAAGCCGAAAAAGGACTTGATATCCAAGGAGGCTGACTGCTCAAAGCACGTCCACTCCTCATTCTCAGGATGAACCTGTGAGCAAAATGGAATAATGAACGGATGCAGGTGCTCGCACTGAGAAAGGCGCTTGTGCCACGGATGCAAACGAGGGCCTCATCCTAAACTCACTCTTCCCTTCACTGTTACCTAACACGCCCACGCACAGGAGCCTCACACATTAATATCGCCACGGTGACAGAACTTCCGAAAAGTCCAATCCGATGGATACGCTGAAACACAGGATTCTGGGGGCTGGTGCACGCTAAGCCCTTTCTCAGTGGGGGTGGGGTAGGGGTGATGAGCCCTGATGCCTGTGGATTGACACAGCTGCCTGCTCTGTGAATATGCATCATCAGGGGTTACCCAAGCTGAAGCCCAGGGGCCTCCGCTAAATAGGGGCCTCAACTAACCTTGTTTAATAAAATTTATAACCCACCCCCCCCTTTCATTCAACAAATTTTTACATCACTACCCCGCTACCCTGGTCGACAACTACAACATCATAGAAATCAGCAGAGGCAGTGTTAATAGCCCAGTGTTAATAGCCCAGTGTTAATAACCCAGTGTTAATAACCCAGTGTTAATAACCCAGGGCCTCTAGCCATGTTAATGTACCTCTACATGCCATCCAGCCGTCGTGAGCTTGCGGTGTGTCAGTGGCAGTGTGTGTGAGGACTTCCTCCATCCACAGCACAACGTAACGCAAAAGAAACCCCCAGACCTCAATACAATGTAGCAAAATGCTTCCTGCTGCCCCTAACTGCATGTTACGGTGGATGGAACGCTGCGTTGGATTGTCCAGAATGCAGGCAGTGGGGCGGGGTGTCGCTCTCAGAACCGACGGACACTGTTGCAAACACGCTGCCAAGCACACACAGCCCGAATCTATTTGGAGCTCTGTTCTCTTTCAAACAGGCAGTAAATTCAAGCCGTAGCATTTTTAACGAGCCTAGAGCGTCGGGGAACACAGAACAGGGGCAGCCGGCAGTGACTCGTTATTCAGAGGTGAGCCGTTTGCGTCCAGGAGGCTCGACGTGGAAAACTACAGCTTTAATTCAACAGTCATAACCGAAATCTGAACGTCGCACCTCCTCCCCGGGCATATGCGGTCACACCCTCTCAGATTCAGGCAAATGTCGATGTACGATACCAGTATGAGGGGGCAGACACTCTGAGCTACACTCCAAATACAGCTACTGACACAGAGGGATGAGCCTTTCCTTCTGTGAAGAGAGAAGGGCTAGTTAGCCAGAAAGATGTCACAAGGGGACTCACGCTGTAGCTACATTTCTCGAGAACCGTCACCCTGCTGGCGAAGGTTTCATTATGGGCCTCGATGAGCAACGTCCTGTCCTTCCAGTTGAGGGTGTTCTTCTGGATGAAGTACACATACTCCACGCCGGCGATCTGCCAAAGGAAGGGAGGCAGGCGATTCACAACGCGGACAGTCAGATTCGCCAGTCGCCATTCAGCATCGTTCAGGTACTTTCAAAGAAAGCTGTCAATACTCCCGGTACCTGATAAATTAAAGGCCCATTATAATTTAGCCAAAGCACAGCGATTCTTAAAGGGGATGGACATAATCCAGCCATGTGGGGGAAAATAGGTTCATTAGAAGAGTGGAGCAACCCAGTACTGTCTGTACCCTGGGCTATGCATCATAAGTAATTAACCTAAACAGAGGGAGGAGCAGGATCTATTATTAATACACACGATGCATATCTGACATGCCTGAACTGAGCCCTGAGCTTAAAACACCTGAGAAAGTCCCCCCCCCCAAGGTAAATGGTGCTTTTGTGCATGTGCATTATAAACTGCAAGAGGAATGAATATATTTGCGATGGCTGATCTCCTTCATATTCAGCGACAGTCTGCAGACTCATCTTTCCATTCCCTCTTGTCTAACACATGGAGGGAGCGGGATGGATGTGCTTAAAGCGTGAGCCCAGCCCCAACGAGCGCTGCTGGGCGTTTGACGGACAGGGGTGGGTTCGTACCTGCAACTGCCTGTCCAAACGGTTTAATCTACGGGATCATTTACATGGAAATTACTGGAATTGTGGAGTGAGTGATGACAGGCGCCTCCTTCATGTTACTCTGTCTGCCTGAAGCGGAGGCTTATGTCACTATGCTGTGAAAAACATGGCTGCAGTAACGGGGTTTTAACGTAACTGTACGTTAAATAACTCATTTTGGTTACATGGCGCAGATCCTAAAAATAAAATGAACTGACTGACCACTTTCTCTGGAGCCCAGTGCTGCTGGTCCACAGACTGGCACTGATACACGGCCCAGTATTCCCAATTGGGGTTAGCGGTTTCATTTCTAAAAAAAACACCACAAAGGTTTGGGAGCCCCTTACAGCCACATGGGGAAGGGAGTGTGTGTGGTTCTGTGTCTGTGGTCAGAAGGCTGTTGGTTCAAATCCTGCCCATGGCAGAACAAGGCCCTTAATGCCAGTTGCTCCAGAGACTGGCAGATCCTGCTTTCTCAGTTGTATATCACTTTGAATAAACCCGTCTGCTAAATAAATGTAAAATATAGAGGTACACAGTGTGAAATGAGACCACTGAAGTGGGATGCCTACGAGCAGGAGCCCCCCCCCCCCCCATACCTTTTTCAGCAGGCGGGGGGCGTCCACGTTGAGCTTGCAGCTGCGTTCGATGACGTGCAGGGAGCTGTCGTTGCTGATGGCCTCGCTGAGGACCTCGCTGCTCACGAACACGGGGATTTGGGGGCAGGTGGGGAAGCGCTTCTCATACGCCTGCGAGGGGGACAGACACCGGCGGTCAGCTCCCCTGAGGCAAAGCGCCCCCCGCAGGTCTCTGAGGGAACCGCGGCTGTTCCCGAGAAGCACAGCTGCTTTGCTGAAACGTGGCGGCACGCGGGAAAAAGTTTGGGTTTGCAGAGTGTGCATTTCCAGCGTGACCCACATAAGGATGACAAACGGCACCCTCCCCCCCGCTCGGGCAGCTCTGCTTATCATATGACAACAGCCAATTTCATAAGCAAGTGATATTATACCTTACAGTACAGATTCCCAGACAGAATAAAAGAACAGGAAATAACATTTCTGCCTGCACCTGTATGAGGATGGCACGCTTTTGGATGGAATCTGTACACAATTAAACTTCATTTAATTCATTCAAGTCTTAATGTATCCATTCATCCACTTATCCTGGTCAGAAGAGTTGGGGCTGGAGCGAATCTCCGGATGCACAGACCTGACCTGCTCAGATTACTCGCTGCAGAATCTATTCAAATCCGATTTAACTGGGTATAGAGCTGCAGGTTTCATTGACTTCCAATAAACAACATACCCAACACACATACACACGCGTGTCATTAATAAGTTGCATTTTTCAATTACGCTACATTTCCATTGAATTTTCAGTTTTATGTTCCACTGTTTCAGGTATTTCCCCTATTGTGCAGGATTTTAAACTGAGTAATTAAATTTAGCCAGCTTTCGGGTGGCAGAGGGAGTCACCGGAGCGTTTGACCTGAACGATTGTACCTCTGGACGTTGAGTTCCTCCGAGGTACATGGCCCCCCGTTAAGGCCTGGGTCACAGGCTGACCCGCGGCTTCCATCCTCACACGCCCACAGCATGCCTTCCGGTAAACAAATCACTCCCCCTGAGCTGTGGAATCCCCAAGCTGGGATGCAAGGTGCTGACAAACTCATTAAACGCACAGGATGTCGTCCTTGGTGCCGGGACTGATGCAATGGCCTCTGAGGCAGGGGGCGCTGGGGGGGGGGTATCAAGACCTGCGGCAGCGAGCGAGCTGTCCTCAACCTGATTTACTCCCCGGCACAGCAGTGAATGCTGGGCAAGCCTGGCAGCGCCAAGGGCCGGCCGCAGACGGACGGGGACGACACCGCGCTGGCGCATCTCTGATGATTTACACACCGCTGGCTAAAGCCTCGCTCTCTGTTGACGTTAGACAGATTAACGTGACAGGTCCCTCACCGGGCTGGGAACTTCACTGCCGTGCTGAGTCTCGCAGATAAAGTCTGGCAGCAGGGATTTTACAGAACTGACGCACACTGGGCTTGACGGGGGAATTATGCGTCCTTACATAATGTGGCACAGCAAATTTAAATCCTCCTGTGGTCCCCAATTTGAAGAATAGAAGGATCCTCTCATACAGCAGCCGCAGTCCGACCCACGGGCTGCCTGCCTCCGTATCTCACGTCAGCAAAACTAGGGGCTACACCAATAATTATCGGTGAGGCTACACAGCCCATTTCTGTGTGGATAACAACCAGGGGAGAGCCTAAGACTTTTTTAAATAGTGTTTTTTATAGGTGACACCATTAGCCAATAACATGTTTTGAATTGGTGATTGACAGACGCGGGGGGACTTCAGGGGCCAATCAGCTTTCAGTTGGGCCAGTGGCCCTGTAGCCCTGCCCCTATATTCTGTCTTTCCCTGTAGAGAGCACCAGGTCCCCTATTAAAGTTTAAAAGCGTACCCCTTCACCAATGCACGCCATCTCCAGGCGGTCAAAGCTGGCAGTCACAGCTCTATTAATAGTGTAAGATAAACGGCTCAGCGTTTCCGGCACCCCACAATGTGCCAGCCAATCCCCCCCCCCCCCCCCCCCCAGGGGAATGACACGAAGGCCCAGGACCCTGCACTAAACCAGAGAGAGGACACACAGAACAGCCAGCGATACGGCCCATGTGCATTTTTAATTAGGAAAATCGATACGCGTGACACTATAGTCCGGGTGCCGTAGCACACAAAAGACCCGCTTCATGCTGCTGGGGTCTTCAGACGTCTAATTAAAAACGTTCACCCCTCTGTCTGTGAAGCGGCGCAAGAATGAGCCCAATGTGGCCTGCAGGGGGCGCTGTCTGTGATGCAGTGTGTCACTGGAAATGACGGAACATCGTAACCGCGGGGGATAGGCTGCTGATTCGGGGCAGTGGGATGGTGAGCCAGAGTCAGCACTGCTGTGGGGGGGCTGCTTCACAAACACCCCCATCCTGAACTAAGCATTGTTAATGAACCCCTCCTGATACGAAACATTTGGGCACAGTTGTTGGTTTGAATCCTGGGTTCAGCAGAGTGATTTCTCAGAAAGAAAAATCATTGCTTTGGATAAAAGCATTTGCTAAATATGTAAATGTAAAATTACACAAGCAGGAAATGATATTTAAAAAGCAAGGCTAATGTAAAATGAATATCAATCTGAGATTCTACCACATCACTCCCCACATATAACAAATACTACAGGCAGTCATTAAACGAGGCGACTGGTTCAGTTTTCGTTATAGCGTGCAGGTTAATCTAAAACACAGCTATTCAAAAACACATGAGCAAGGCGTTGCTGTTACATGAGACCAGGCCCCGGCACGCTTGCTAAAGCCTTCTGGGAATATTAATAGCAACTCTTCTCTTGTTTTAAAACAGCAGCGGGGTGGCTGACTGCGAGGGCAAGTGGTGCGTGGAGGACAGAGCCAGCCATACAGGGGGAAATCGCAAACATGCGAAGACATACCAGGAATCCATGTGCACCATTCCTGCTTAATTCCATTATTCTGGATCAGCCCAACATGCTAGATCCTTTATTGCTCACATTGCCATGTAAAGTCTAATGGCTTAATGGTCAGGGAACTGTGCTTGTGATCAAATGGTTGCTGTTCCTAATTCTCAGCCAGCAAAGTACCCCTGAGGTACCCTGAGCGAGACACTTCCCTCACGCCCCTTATGGAAATTCAATATGGTTTCCTATGGTTTTTATGCAGTAACCCAGGTTTTACTATGGTACCTCATGGTACTTAGGTACTACCCATAGTACGACTATGGTTTGGAAAGATCATGGTAAAACAAAAACCACGGTAAAACAAAAACCATGATGAAACAAAGACCATGGTAAAACAAAAACCATGGTAAATATCATGGTAAAACAAAGACCATGGTAAAGACCATGGTAAAACAAAGACCATGGTAAAACAAAAACCATGGTAAAACAAACATCATGGTAAAACAAAAACCATGGTAAAACAAACACCATGGTAAAACAAAAACCATGGTAAAGACTATGGTAAAACAAACACTATGGTAAAGACCATGGTAAAACAAACACCATGGTAAAGACCATGGTAAAACATGGTAAAACAAACACTATGGTAAAGACCATGGTAAAACAAAAACCAAGGTAAAACAAACACCATGGTAAAACAAAAACCACGGTAAAGACCATGGTAAAACACCATGGTAAATACTATGGTAAAACAAACATCATGGTAAAACAAAAACCATAGTAAATACCATGGTAAAAGAAACACCATGGCAAAACAAAAACCATGGTAAATACCATGGTAAAACAAACACCATGGTAAAACAAAAACCATAGTAAATACCATGGTAAAACAAACACCATGGTAAAACAAAAACCATGGTAAAGACCATGGTAAAACCATGGTAAAACAAAAACCATGGTAAAGACCATGGTAAAACAAACACCATGGTAAAGACCATGGTAAAACAAAGACCACGGTAAAGACCATGGTAAAACAAAATCCATGGTAAATATCATGGTAAGACAAACACCATGGTAAAGACCATAGTAAAACAAAGACCATGGTAAAACAAGAACCATGGTAAAACAAACATCATGGCAAAACAAAAACCATGGTAAAATACCATGGTAAAACAAAGAGCATGGTAAAACAAAAACCATGGTAAAGACCATGGTCAAACAAACACCATGGTAAAGACCATAGTAAAACAAACACCATGGTAAAACAAAAACAATGGTAAAGACCATGGTAAAACAAAGACCATGGTAAAACCAAAACCATGGTAAAGACCATGGTAAAACATGGTAAAACAAANAAAACCATGGTAAAGACCATGGTAAAACATGGTAAAACAAACACCATGGTAAAGACCAGGGTAAAACAAAGACCATGGTAAAACAAAAACCATGGTAAAGACCATGGTAAAACAAACACCATGGTAAAACAAAAACCACGGTAAAGACCATGGTGAAACAAAAACCATGGTAAAGACCATGGTGAAACAAACACCATGGTAAAGACCATGGTAAAACAAAAACCATGGTAAAGACCATGGTAAAACAAAGACCATGGTAAAACAAAGACCATGGTAAAACAAACACTATGGTAAAGACCATGGTAAAACAAAGACCATGCCTGACTGACTGTGACTTAACCAGCCTAAGAGTGCTTGTCTAAACAAACACCATGGTAAAACAAAAAACCATGGTAAAGACCAGGGTAAAACAAAGACCATGGTAAAACAAAAACCATGGTAAAACAAAGACCATGGTGAAGACCATGGTAAAACAAACACCATGGTAAAGACCATGGTAAAACATGGTAAAATAAACACCATGGTAAAGACCATGGTAAAACAAACACCATGGTAAAACAAAAACCATGGTTTATGACCAAGATTATACAGTACTAGTGTTTAACTGTAGTGAAACCATGATAAAACCATAGTCATGGTTTCCATAGTTACCCAAAAAATCATGAAAAACGGCAAACCATTGTAAACCATGGTTATTTAATCATAGTAAAACCATGGTTAATTTTCGTAAGGGGCTCTGCTCCCCGGGTGCTAAACAATAGCTGCCCACTGTCCTGTCACATATGGGTTAAATGCAGAGGACACATTTTTGGGGTCGCCATGCGTCTTGTGATGAGGTAAAAATAAGTTAAAATATAAAGCTTATAAAATGTAAAGCTTTAAAAGCACCTGTTCAACATTAACACCCATGACAAGCAACTGTACATCCAATATACAATAATTAAATACATAGAATAAATAAAGAGTCATATATAATTTTGAAATTCAGTGTAATTAAGAACTGATGATTTCTGATTAGATGTGAGATTTACAGGCCCGTTAAACACCATTATTGAGAGTCGTATGCTAATAGGGGCAGCCAGCTTGAGATTCCCAGAACCACGGGCACCAGATAACTGCCCAGTGGGAAACCGGATACATGTGGGGGGGGTTGTGGCTACGAGGGGCCTCCCGTCCTGACCGACGGGCTTCCTGCGACCCGAAACTGAGAGACGCGACCACGTTGTACGTCACTGCGCGGAATCTTGCGGAAACCCTCCGGATTCAGGTCGCGGCATCACGGCCGCTCGGCAAGGTCGCCAAGGACAACCATGGATGGGGGGGAGGGAGGAAGAGAACCGAGAAAATGGGTCAGGCGAGCTCAGCCCCTCGATGCAAAGCTTTACCAGGAGGATAATTATAGAGCTTGTGCATTACAAGCACCCCTGTTCCTCATATTACAGTACTGAGCTGAAGCCCTTACAGACAGCCATGTGGATTGCACAACCTTGTGACCTCAGAAGAGTGTCGTAGCTTCCAGGCAGGAGACATGTTTACAAATATAAACAAATAACCAATGCAGACCCTGGCTAACATACCTGCACACAGCCAACAGCAAAAAATAAAATAAAATACAATCACACTTGAAGCAGTCTTTTCACACAGAAACAACGCCATCTCAAAAATACTAAGTGAGACATCCTATCCAACACAATATTTTCACCATGCTTGTGGCGGCTGCAAAGCCGACGGACAAGAACAGGACAAACGAAATACAATAATCTGGCTTGATAAAAGGATATCAGTGGACAAATTGAAAGCCTTGTCATTTACTAGCATAAAAGGCTGAATTAAATTACCATGTAGTGCGGCATCAATTTAAGTGGATCTCTTCCTGACATACAATCTGCTCTTGGACGTAAGACAATTAAACCCTACTTTTGTCAAACGATCTTCGATGGTGCCTTTGCCCGTCTCAGGTTTCCCGCAGTCATTTAGCGGACGGACACCAGCAGGTACCCCAGTCCTGCTACATGAGTACATGCTACCCTGCTTAATTTTCTGGAGAATCGAAAAAACACCGAACCTCCGTCACACTCAGTTGGTACAACAGGGGTCAGGAACAATACTGGGATATTTTTAGACTAAATCATCACTAATTATCTTTTACAAACACAGCGATGCCTGGAATTAAAGATGAGGTTAAAAATTCACACCCTGGAGGTGCGCTTCTCTCCTCTCATTGGCCTCTGCTTGTGCACCATGATGGCTGACCTCAAGCAATCGCAGCTCACCGCTACGGAGAACAATCGCCTTCACTCAGACTCGACGCCCTTGACTCAGCACACAGTGAACTCACTGTAGGGCCCCCGAGCGCAGTGCGTGGGGGCGGCCAGCAGGGAAATGCTGAAAAATGGCATTTCTAAGACCACGGTGGAGTAAGATTCCATGCATATCCTCCATATGCCCCTAGCCCACCAGGAGGCAGCGGTAAGCAATGCCAATCACCAGGCTTGTACTTCCTGCTATTCACACTGCAGCGACCTGCTATGAGCTGTGGGCAGCATGGGAGGCTGCCGGAATTTTCCACAGCATATCACACAGATACTGCAGAGTGACATGACGGAAGTGCCACAAAGTTCCTGTCTGACTGTGACTTAACCAGCCTAAGAGTGCTTGTCTAAATATGAAAATGACAAGCTGCCCATTTTTAGTACAAAGCATCAAACAGATTTTTCCCGACATTCCTTAAATGCTGCATTTTGCCTACTCATAAATATTCAATGTAACTTGCGAAAGGTGTTTTAGCAGATAAAATGATTCCACATTTAATAAACGCTTTGCATATCTAATGATTAATTTTACGCTTCCGGCTATCCGTGTGTAACAGAAACACATGATTGTTATAGCCTATTTACGTTAGCAATATCCATAACCTGGTGAACGATGCTGATAAGCAGAGTGACAGATGTTTATAACAATGCCTACACATATTTATGTACCTTTAAACATTTCCTACAACTGAACAACTGAATCTCAGCCTTGGCAGAATAAACCCACAGAAATCCATCCCTGGTTAGACTTGTTATACTAAGTGATTTATGTAATAGGCTACTTAATAGTTATTACTGGCTATATGTCAATTAGTTGGCTATTTAGTAAAGATGATTTTTCTTTGAAAGTAGATTAAAGTAGAGAGTTAAGAGTAACGTCACAATCAATTAATTATCCGTAAATGCAATAATGTTGAGATCATATATACTGACATTTAACATGTGGAATCATTAGAAAGTATTTAGCAAATGGCAAGCGTTGTCTTAGAAGTTTGAAAAATGTATATTTGAATTCAATAACTGTATGATGTCTGGAATGAGGAATGCATGCAGGAGCAATATGACGAGCCTTTCGCTAGAATCCACTAAATGCGGCCAGGAAAGCTCGTACCCAGCATTGCCTATATTACGCTGCATGCAAATGCAAATGAGGCGCAGTGAATGACGAGCGTGTAGTGAAGGGGCGCGGAAGCCATTTGCGGGGCAGCTGGGAGGCCCCTGGGCACCGGGGCGGAAGCGGGACTGCGCTGGTACAAAGTGCCTTTTGTGCGCGTGCCTTTAGCGCTAAATGGTCCTCATAGACCGGTGCGGTACATCCGACACTCCATGGCGGAAGGCTTATAAGACATGAAGAACAACGGCCAGTCAGATTATTAATGTTATTATTGTTATAGCACCCATCCGTCCGGATCTGCTCATCTAATGTTCTCGTCCATGGTCTTAGAGTCTAGCAATTTTCATATTCTCAAAAAATAATAATAGTACAACAGCAATAATAATAATAGTCATAAATGTCACACAGAGGAAGGATCACATGACACTTACCGCCATGACCATTTCAAAGGAGTGCTTATACACTCTGACTGGAGACTGATACTTCTGCACCATTTTCACGTTGGAGGAGCTAAAAGAGACAAAATAAAGAAAGACGTCAGCGCGAGATGCTTTGCGTTTCCTCTCGGCGCACTGATATTGTCCTGCAGCCGTGCCAACTGCAGGCTTCTCTCCAAAAACCACTGTGCCTGACGCTGCCAAGGTCTGCAGTTTAACCACAGTGTTTAGCTAAACAACTGGAGCAATATTAGCACTGGAGCACTGACATACAGGATACATTGTTCATTTGAATATGTGATGCCAACTTAACATTAAGTGTGTCTTAACTACGCTATTAGGAATCATGCTCAAATTGCCCTTTGTTTTAACCTAAAGAGGATGCCCAACAGCACTGTACCTGTCCTGGTGATAAGCTGTCAGGGCTGAGCTTGTCTATTGCATTGAAATCATACAGGGATCATCTGCACTTGCTGAAACCGATTGTGCTTCTAACCCCTCCTTGTACGGATAACCCTGCAGAACTCCGTGAGACCTCAAATCCCACTGCTCTCTCACAAAACTGATACAAAGGTCAGATTGCGTCTTGGCAAACGGCGGGTATGTACGAATAAACGGGCAACTCAGCTGGGCAAAATGCTATGGGCACGTTTCTATGCACTAAATCATAGTAAAACATTATAACTCCCACTCGTTCTGTGGTGCAATTAACCAAGACAATGGATGCTGGAGCGGTGAATCAGTGATACTGCCGAACAACTCACGCTTATCCATATTTTCAATGAGCTAATGTTTGGTTTATTCTGTCCATGAACGTTTCTGGTAGTTCCATAACGGTGTGGAATGGGGAAGAGGACAGTACACCCTATTCTGGATACAGTTACATCTGGCATGAGTGTTCTAGTCCACAGGTCACATGTTGTAAGTGTTGGCTTGAGAAGGACACGGACAAGGTTAAATATGTTCTACCCCCCTTCCCCAGTTAGCTGCCCACAGTAAGCGCGACCCCCTAATCCTTCAAGGAGATGATGGCCAGGGTTCATGCCAGGTTCCCCAGTTCTCTTAAAACAACTTTATACTTCAGTAAAATGCTCAATGACTTAAATTAACGTTACCGTGTGAAACTTTCCGCTTCTTATACGCAATCAAAATAGATTATATACAATGTATAAATATTTAAAAAATGGTTGCAAAGCATGAATACTCATATTGAAAGGAACGAATTAGGAATGAATAATTCTAAATTTACTTACCTTTCGACTACAAGAACTGGAGATGCAACACACTGAGTTTATGATCATAGTTTTTATATAAGTAGGTTTTAACATGGTACATGCACATTGGATTTGTGATCGCATGTATGATTTTACAAAATACAATAAATCTCAATGGAACGAACTCAGGACGAAATGTATCGCCTTTTCCACTAAAAATAGCTAGGAAATTGATCGGTTAATTCCCAAACTTGCAATGATTGCTTCAACTCAGCGCAAAGGCTATATGTGCGTGACGTGTTTTCATAATCCTCAGCCTTCACTTTATTTTGGGAGCGCAAAATAATATATACGCGTAGACTTCCTTTTTTAGACAGTGAAGAAAATGGATCAGTAAATACGGCGAATTGCAGTTATTGTCATTCTATTTATAAATGCGACAAAAACGGGGTGACTAACCAATAGCATGAGGTTACAAAACATTTTTCTTTGGTTTAAAACAATACAAAATATCATGAGAAAGATACATTTACCACCTGCATTTACCACCAGCGTTTTTGCCTCTGTGCACTTCGAATCATGCATTTTAAAACCCTAGGAGATATCTGTGCAGGCTCTATAGGTGCAGAACCGGTAGAGTGGATGTAGTTAGGATCAAAAGCATAGAATAACATTGTAACGCATTAATGCAAAAATACTACTTAAACAAAGGTCTTACCTGGCTTTAAAGAGTGGCTTTCAGGCAACATAAAATTCCTCCCTTAAATTAGGACGTTGCGGTTCACAGATGAATCATACCCATTGCAAGGTTATTTAGTATTCGTACTACTTTCGGTTTGCAGACTGTAGATTGTCAGTAAATTACAGCATTTATTTTTTTTAGGAGTTAGCTAATCTTTAGAAGAGTCTTCAGTCATGACATGCTTTTCATTCATGTTAAATCCTGTTATCGGTTTATTTAACGAGAATCGTTAACACTCGCAAAGATGAAGCCGATTCACAGTAAAGTGATACGTGCTATGCAAACATTAGATTAGGTATAAATAAACGAAAAATAAATGCATGTAGTTACCTAGCTTTCGCCAAATAATTTCACGAAAGGGTCTCGAAATATGACGCATTGGACAACTAGTCAGCCATAAGAGCAGGGATTTGTTTCAGATCTTGTAACCTGCTATTGCAGCGCCTTGAAGATGTTTGCAATCTATACCCTCGTTCCTTCCTGCATTATAGTGAATGCTGAGCCCCTCCACCGGTCTCCACGCTTTGGCCGCCTGTCACCGCTCAGTTTTACCGTGATGTCAGCGACAGAATTAGTCTTATTAATACCCACGACTACCTGCGCCCCCAAGCGGCCACTCCCGCGCTTTGCACTGCCGCCCGCGTCTTAAGACGAGTCCGAGCGTAATTAATTTTTTATTACATTTTATACGTTGATTTGTAGCATAAAGCACATGCACACATATGTAGTACTTATGAACAAATCAATAAATGGAATAATAAAATACAAGTTCTGTTCTCCCTCACAACGCCGGTCGTAGCCCATGTGGCGCCCTAGGCGAGCATCACAGTCAGCGCCCCGCTCACCCCCCACCCCCGACAGCTACAGCAAAATGTAGCTGAAAATGGATATTGTTCAATATTTAATAATTAGTACTACGAGTAAAATCATCATTATATTATTATTAGTATTAACACTGCTATTACTAATAATAATTCACTACGTAACAAATCTTTATTTTATTTTTGTTCCTGGGTATACAGTGTGTTTTCCTAATCACTTGTGCCTAAAATAAATAGAAAATGACACAAATTCTTTGCTTCTGGGGTCAGGACAATGATATTTTTAAATTTATCTATTTTCGCGAACATTTTCGATTCACATTCAATGCTGAGTAGACTTCCAGAATATTCTAGAGCTTTGACAACTGTCCAATAAAGTCTAGAATTGGCCAGAATTTTCTATAACTTTGTGGAAGTTTTTAAAACTTTCTAGAATTTTCCGAGACTGCCCAGTAGCATCAATAGAAGTATAAAAGTGCGGGTGACTGAAACAAACATTTCAGTTTATATTATTGCAAAGTGACAAAATAGTGAGAATAGTGAATACCAATATTATTTTGAATGGCATCAAGAGGCTGCTTGCACCCAGCAGATGCCTTTTGCTACATTTGTGGACAATTTATCAAGACAAGAGCGAAAAAGTACTCAGTGAAAGCCTCTGTTAAGATGTGCGAGGCTTACATCATACTTCAGGATGCCTGTCGGGGATCAAGACCAGCCATGGGCACCTTATTTCACATGTGAACATTGCAAGAAGACTCTTGAAGGCTGGTACAGGGGAGAAAAAAGAGCAATGAAGTTTGCTATCCCAAGAATTTGGCGGGAACCAACTGACCACTCCAGCAACTGCTACTTCTGCATGGTGGACCCTTCAGAACGTCAAAGTGGCAAGCAAGCAAGCAAGCACCTCCTGTCATGTATCCAGACATTCCTTCTTCCATCGCCCCGGTACCACACCGCCCTGAGCTCCCCATTCCCACCCCTCCGGAGAGGGATCATCCATCTTCAGCAGAGAGCAGCCAGTCAGACATTGAAGAAGATATTGCAGATCACGATTTCACAGACATGGCTGTGGAGAGAAAGCAATACTTCCCCAACCAGAATGTCCTCAACGATCTGATCAGAGACCTTGGTCTTACAAAGTCCAGTGCTGAGCTTCTGACATCTAGGCTCAAGGAGTGGAACTTGGTGGATGAAGATGTGCAAGTCAAAAATCAGAGGAAGCGTCACGAACGTTTTTCCAACTACTTCAGTCACTAGGATGGGCTGTGCTTCTGCAGCAATGTGGCCGGTCTATTCGAGGCAATAGGAATCACCTGTAACCCAAGTGAATGGCGCCTGGTCATAGACAGCTAATCCAGGAACCTCATAGACAGCTCATCCAGGAGCCTCATAGACAGCTCATCCAGGAGCCTCATAGACAGCTCATCCAGGAGCCTCAAAGCTGTGCTGCTTCATAACAGGAACCAGTACCCGTCTCTCCCTGTGGCTCACTCTGTGCACCTGAAAGAGGACTACACCAGTGTGAAGATGTTGCTGAGTTACGACTATGGCTGGGAGGTCATTGGAGACTTCAAAATGGTGGCATTCCTGATGGGCCTGCAAGGCGGCATCACAAAGTTTCCTTGTTTTCTTTCCCTCTGGGATAGCAGGGACACTCAGGTGCACTATCACTTAAGGGATTGGCCACAACGGACCGAGTTCTCTGTGGGGAAGAACAATGTCAAGTGGAATCCGCTGGTAGACCCTCGGAAGGTGCTGATGCCACCACTGCACGTCAAGATAGGTCTCATCAAACAGTTTGTCACGGCTTTAGACAAGGAGTCAGCAGCTTTCAAGCACCTCCAAGATCTCTTTCCAAAGCTGTCGGAGGCAAAGGTCAAAACTGTTGTCTTCGTCGGACCACAGATAAAGAAAATCATAGAATGTGACGATTTCGCCAAGAAGCTGAACAGGAAGGAGAAAGCAGCTTGGAGCAGTGTGGTTGCAGTGGTTCATGGATTCCTGGGCAATCACAAGGCTGAAAACTATGAGCATCTGGTTCAGAGTCTCATAAAAAACTACACCAGAATGGGATGCAGAATGTCCCTGAAAGGCCATATCCTTGATGCTCATCTTGCCAAATTCAAGGGAGCTTACTCAGAGGAGCAAGGTGAGCGCTTTCACCAGGATATAAAGGACTTTGAACGTCGTTACCAAGGACAATATAACGAAAACATGATGGGGGACTATATTTGGGGGCCTGTTCGAGAAAGCGATTTGCTGTGTGTCTGCAAATCTAGAAAATTTGCTCATTTCTGTATCATACTGAGTCGTTTTGACTGTATTTGTGTATTTGCCAGCAAGTATTGTTCGTCTCTGACTGCACGTATGAACACAAAAAAATTCGCCTGCTCTGTCTGTATAAATACGATACTTTTTAGACTGTGGTCATAAAAGCAAAGTTTGCGATGAATATAGCCATTTTTCCAAAATAATTCCTTGGTTCTTGGTCCTGGAAGTCTGCGTGTCTGGTGTTCGACCCTGTGCAGTGTCCCTGGCTCTGCCTCGTGTCTTGGCCCCATGTGCCCGTCCTCTCGTCTGATCTCTTGTGTTCCCTCCCCTGCCCGCCTGGCGTGCCCAGAGTGCGTGCCTTTGGGGGGGTACTGTCAGATCTAGCGCCGCCCTGCTTGTATGATCCCAGCGTTTCCCTCAGGGGCGGCTTCTAATCAGCCGTGCCTGAAGCTTGTTAGTCTTACCTCTTGTTCCAGCCCTCTTGTTCCTGTCCTTTTGTTCCTGTCCTCTTGCTGCCTTGCATTTACTCCTTTGTTAGTCATGTATACAGGGGGTCCTTGGGTTAGGACGTCTCGACATATGACGTTTCGAGTTTACGATGATCACTCCCATAAAAACTTAAAAAAATGAGAAGTGTTTCGGCTTATGCCGTTACCCTCGTGCTTACGGACTAAGTGGGTGATCTAGTCTGGTTGAGTGCGGCGGAAGGATAGGCAGTAACGCGGGGTATGAGTGAGGGAGTTGGCGCCCCCCAGTACGCTTACCTACGCCATTTTGGACTGTTAAAAGCGCAAGTGTTCCGTTTATGAAGAGGAAAGCCATCACGATGGAAGTGAGATTAGACATAGTAAAGAGAAAAAGGGTGTGTTTCAACACACCAAAATTCGGGTTATGTTACTGTCGTAGGAATGGAACTGTGTCATAACCCAAAGACCCTCTGTATTAGTGTTACTTAGTCCTCTGCTCCCTGTTCGGTCATTGTTTCCTGTCTATGTGTGTGATCCTGCCTGTTCCCTGCAACAAACACCCCTGCGAGGGCTTTACCTCGGCACAGCCTGCATTCGGGTCGTTCCTTCTCCTGTTGTCTACCTAATATAAATTCTTTTTTTTGATGCCATTGCAACATGCTCCCCCTTGTAATACCATCATTTGACGGCCCTATTAACAATCTTTTCTCCCTTTGAAATGCTAGTCTTTTTCTTGTCGCCACATCACTTAAAATGGCGTTTTTTTTCTTCATTATGCCCTGTTAACCTAAACGCATCCTTGACACTGTTCCCCCCCCCTTCACCGGTGCCCCCAGTCCGTCAAAATGAAATCGGCTGGCTAAGTTGGTGCCCCCACAGATACTGGCACCCAGACTGACCAGCCCGGCATTCCGACAGAGACGTTCATGTGTGCTTGTGTGTTGCTTCATCTAAATACCAGTATGAATTAAAGCTGTAAGGTGGCCATGTAGCCCATAATTGTGCAGAGTATAACTTAGTATACAACCGCAAAACCATACACATAGCCAGGTAAAAATGATAAGAAATTCATGTGCATATAGATCAAATTTATCATATCATTATCTCCTTTCGGTTGCTCCCGTTAGGGGTCGCCACAGGCGATCATCTGTTTCTGTTCCTTCCTGTCCGCTGCATCTTTCCTGTCCTCTTTCACACCAACCACCTGCATGCCCTCTCTCACCACATCCATAAACCTCCTCTTAGATCTTCCTCTTCTTCTCTTGCCTGGCAGCTCTGTCCTCGGAATCCTTCTCTCTCCTCTGTACATCCAAACCAACCCAATCGCGCCTCTCTGGCTTTTTCTCCAAACCATCCAACCTGAGCTGTCCCTCTAATATACTCCTTCCTAATTCTGA